GGCTCGGCCATGACGCGCGTGGGAGACGCTCACACTCCACGTAGAGCCAGGCCTTGTGCCAGTCCTTCCCTTTGGTGTTGATGGCCTCGCACTCGTACGCGCCCACGTCTTCGTACTGCACGTTGTAGAGGTGCAACGCCGCGCCCGATTCGCTGATCTCGTGGTTGGCCGGCAAGTCTGTGGCGTCCACTTTCCTCCATACAATGTGAGGGATGGGACTGAGGAGGGGAAGAAAAAAAAACAAAAAAACGTTTTTTTGTTTTACAACATGAGCGCAAACCGGATCAGATGCTTTAAGGCAAAGCCGTGCCATCAATGATTGTCAATCGGACGTACTTCCCCAGAGCAAAGCATTCCAGCGTAATGTTGTTTTTTTGTTTTACAACATGAGTGCAAACCAGATCGGATGCATTGAGGCAAAGCCGTGCCATCAATGATTGTCAATCAGACATACTTCCCCAGAGCAAAGCATTCCAGCGTAATGTTGGAGGCGAGCAGGGCTGTTGTGTCTGGGAACTTCACCCTGATGTCTGCAGGGTATTTTCTTTCTTCGCCTGAAGCCATTAAAAAAAAAAAAAAAAGTGATATTTGAAATGAGACAACAAAATGAATCAACTGCACGCTGCCCTTTTTCCAAAAATGTGTTTGTATCTCCGTCTGTAGGACTTGAGAGCTAGGGTGGGTGAGGATCCAGAGCCACTTTCAAGCAACAGTCGAACCACAAATAAGCACTTCCGTCAAAACTACCGGTAAGCATAGTATTAGAAGCACACGTTAAAACTTTTGCTGAAGTTATGCATATCGAACGGGGCCATGTTTAGCAATTTGTCCGCTGCATGCGCCACAGACAGATCTGGATATTAGTCAACAAGTATACAAAATGTGAAATGCTGCCTCATTGACTGAAAATAAAATAAAAACTCTGCACCCTAGTCGTCTTCGTCTATTTGCCTGAGACATGAGCGTGCAATTCCATATTTGTTATTTTGACGTAATAGATTCCCAACCGGCGTTAGTGTGCGATGAAAGATCATTTTCACTTAACTGGCGACTCCTCGGCATTCCAGGAGTCGCATCGGTACTTCAACTTTTATCAGAGTTGCTTTCTTACACAAGTATCTGTCGAACTCACCATCGTCTGGTGGCAACGGGATCAGAGGAATGAACTTGGAAAAGACGCTTTTTCCCAGGACGGGGCTGGAGACGAAGCAGGAGTAGTTCCCGGCGTCCTGAGCCTCCACCTTGGAGATGTACAGGTTGCCGGTCCTCTGCGAGACAAAACGGCGGCGGTCCATGTTGAGGAACACGGGGAACTCATTGAAGATCCAGCGGTAAGACACCTCCTCTGAAGGAAGAAGACAAGTTGGCCGCAGCAGCCCAGCGGAGGAGCAGCTGTTGACGTGACGCAACGAGACACACACCTGGCCACGCTTTGGGAGGGGCACACAGCAGAACCGCCCCCTGGCCTTCTCTGACAGTGACCGGGTCTCTCTCCTCTTGAGGAAACTCCTCGAGAACTTCAACGCAGAAAAACGTCCACTCATTTAATCAAGGGAAAAATCCTCCTTTTGGCTTTGCGCGTTCTTACATCCAAACTTGACGCGGGCCTCCTTGCTGATGACGGTGCCGTAGATGTTGTGAGCCACGCAGATGTACGTGCCGGCGTGCTTCTTTTGCCTGGGGTTGCTGATGACCAGGTTGCCCCCCACCAGGCTGTAGTGCTCATCCGGCTGCTCCATCAGCTTGATCTCCCAGTTGTCGCGGCGCCACCTAGCAGGCGGACACAAAATTAGATATGTACGAGTGGCCCATCCACCCATTTATAGAGCGAGGTTAAGGTCGAGGCAAATCAAGCACCAAGACACAGATGGACTACCTGTAAGCGGCTGGAGGATTGGCTCGGGCCCTGCAGTTCATTGAGATCCTACCATCGGGGGAGTCCTCGGTGTAGACCACATCCACTGGCTCCTCCTCGAAAATGGGCCCGTAACCAGTAGCTTCCTCTAAATATTACATAATAGCCGCAATCATTACAAATACGCATCAATCATGATGAGGGGAAAAAAAAGGACTCACCGCCAAATATCCTGGGCTCCCCAAACAGGATTGCCACTGACAACAGGAGACATCACAGTGTTGCACGTTAATAAATGATGGCATCCTTCGGTAGCTATAGAAATATGTATATACACAGAAGTACTTACATGTGACGGGGACCAAGGAGACGAGGGCCAGCAGCGACAAGGTCGTGGGCGCCATCCTCACTCTGATATGAACAAAGCAAGTGTGTTGAGATGAAGTGATCTGCGAAATTATAAATTTAGTGGGGCTAATAACGTGCCCTGTGGGTGTGTTTGGGTCGTTCAAACTATCACGGCTATTTCTCTTCACACAGCATTCTCGCGTGATGTGATCCGCGTGCTCCGACTTCTCAGTCTGCAGTGACTGCCGCCATGACTCAACAGAAACTTCGCTGCTCATCCTGCCGCAGACATCCCCCTTTACACCCCCCCCCCTTCTTCTTTGAAAAGACGAATGCACTCTGCACGGCAACACGCCGAGACGTCTTTTTCTGCCTTATTTATTTCTCAACACAGATTCAATCAAAAGCAACTAGCACGGAGTCAGTCACGGCAATCTGCTCTCATCATCACAACGTGCTGCTTTACTCACCATGTAATCCTGTCACAGATCCGCTTTGGGACAGAGGACGGTAAATTTAGGTCACTGCGTGAATTTAAAAAAATGATGATGATGAGGAGGAGGAGGAGGATGGCCTATCGTGGACCTATAGGACGAGTAATCCCTTTTGTGCATTCAATGTCAAGTTGTTGTTGTTGCACACTAACTGCAAAAACCCTAAAGTGCTCTTCCATGACATACCACGCAAGTTATTCCCATTTCATGCACTTTTTCAGCGAGTCTGTGTACATAAAAAAATCTTTCAGAATTTTTTTTTTGGGGTGGGGGTCGCAGTCCATCTCCCTATACCCCCCCGCCCCCAAAAAAAGTGCGCACCCGATGACGCCTTCACCAGCGGCTCTGCATTGCGGTAATCCGGTCCCGCCACCACCCGATCGATTTGTGCCCACACCCCACACAAAACGCATCACAACCGCGCACAAACTCACCTCAAAACATCCGTCTTACCTTTTTTTTTTCAATATCGTGTATGAAATATGACTGCTTCTTGAGGCCTGGCACACCTGCACCCGAAACGCATCCTCCAGCGCTCACAGACGCAGAGCCGTCCAGTCGGGATGGAACTTTTCTTGTTGGAGCAGAGCGTCTCGAGGGCGACACGTGACCGCCGCTGCCCAATCGGGATGCAGGGATGGGAGGGCTGCCGAGGAGCACCGGAAACAGATGATCTGAAACGGCACTGGGATGAAAATCCGACATTGGATTATACACACGGCTATATGAACAAAAAAAAAAAGCATTATCTTTGGAAAGGGAGACTTGGTTGTACATTAGAAACATCCGAGAACAAATGACATCCACAAGAATAAATAAACACGAATATTCAACTTCCTGGTGTACCTAATGAAGTGGCTGATTGAGGAAACAGTTGCGAATTTGAAATCTTGAAGCCAACGTTTATTCAACTTTTTTTCCCCCCCATCTGTTTTAACTTCATTTAAAATACAAAATATTTGTCGTGTTATAACCAAGAGAAAAACCGTTGAACAGCCTCGCTCTCATGCTTCTCGCGTACAATATAGCCGAACAGTCGTCATATCGCTGGAGCCGGCAAAGAACGTTTTACAAACGTCGAAATGTGTCAAGTCAGCATTTGTGTCGCCGCAGTTTTGCTTGCACGTGTCAAATTGGTGTTTCAGACAGTTGACCGAGCTTCCACGCGGCCCGACTTTGTCCATGTAGCTTTAAATGATGCATCCTGTGAACGTGTGTGTGCATTGAATATATATATATTTTGAAAAAAAAAGTGCACAAACAAGACGAGTGTCACCGGAGCTGGGCCACAAGCAAGATAATCTCATTTTAGAGCCTGTGAGTTCACTTTAAGAATAAAGAAAAAAAAAATCACAGCAAATAAAAACTGTAAATAGTCCTGTGTCACACTACCCACAATGCAGCTGGGCTGACTTTTTTTTTTCTCTCCACTCAGGTCAAACTGGTTATTTACAAAATAAAAAACACATAGAAAGCTGACATGACCTAAAAACTTGATGCAAGTTATGATAGACGACACAGCGGGGGACAGGGGGGAAATCAAATCTCCGTTTGAGAGTTGGACGACGAGCAGACAAGAGTCCCGAAAGGAAAAAAAAAAGGCGGAACGCACGTTGAACACATGCATGCTCACACACAACTGCACTCATGCACCCACGTTTCTTTGTAAACAGTACAACATATTGATTAAAGATGTCCCCGGTGTCAACTACTACTTTCCTTTTCCACATTCAGCATCAGGAGCAGACACTCCCGCAGCCCTTGAGGGCGGCGAGAACGGCTTCAGTCTCCATTAAGTAGGCCTCATTTTATATACTTGGCGAAGACATTGATTTTTCACTTTACAGGGAGTTTAAGTATATGTAGCAGCTCTGCTAAATGTACTGTGTGTGTGCATTGAATATATATATATTTTGAAAAAAAAAGTGCACAAACAAGACGAGTGTCACCGGAGCTGGGCCACAAGCAAGATAATCTCATTTTAGAGCCTGTGAGTTCACTTTAAGAATAAAGAAAAAAAAAATCACAGCAAATAAAAACTGTAAATAGTCCTGTGTCACACTACCCACAATGCAGCTGGGCTGACTTTTTTTTTTCTCTCCACTCAGGTCAAACTGGTTATTTACAAAATAAAAAACACATAGAAAGCTGACATGACCTAAAAACTTGATGCAAGTTATGATAGACGACACAGCGGGGGACAGGGGGGAAATCAAATCTCCGTTTGAGAGTTGGACGACGAGCAGACAAGAGTCCCGAAAGGAAAAAAAAAAGGCGGAACGCACGTTGAACACATGCATGCTCACACACAACTGCACTCATGCACCCACGTTTCTTTGTAAACAGTACAACATATTGATTAAAGATGTCCCCGGTGTCAACTACTACTTTCCTTTTCCACATTCAGCATCAGGAGCAGACACTCCCGCAGCCCTTGAGGGCGGCGAGAACGGCTTCAGTCTCCATTAAGTAGGCCTCATTTTATATACTTGGCGAAGACATTGATTTTTCACTTTACAGGGAGTTTAAGTATATGTAGCAGCTCTGCTAAATGTACTGTTTTTGGGTTTTTTTGGAAACTTTTTTATTTGGTGGTGTGTCGTGAGATTTATGTGCCGTGGCTAAATAAAGGCTGTAAAACAGCGATCTCATGAGATCCAATTTCTCAAACAACCCTTGATGATATTGTGCATCACGCTGTGGCTGGTGAGTGCGTTTTTTTTCCTTTCCCTCATCCTTCCAAATACACGGTATCATACGTCGTGTAACACTTTGGGGTGGCCACTTTGGGACGACAACCAAACTCGGCACGTTTCCGTGACAACAAAAGCGGCATCACGATGGATTCCATGCAGTTAACGCCTGCGGATGTGTTTGGATGCGTTGTGGTTGTATAGAAATGCTAGCAAAGGATATCAAATGGCGCGCACTCACTCTCTCTCTCTCTCTCTCTCTCTCTCTCACACACACAGACACACACACACACACAGCTCCTGATACATGCGTGTCTATATTGCTTCTCCAGAGAGTCGTTCCTTCGACACCTTCTGGGCGGCGGTGTCCCTCTTTGCCGAGTTTGCTCAGGAGGTGCGACAGTGTCGGGGTGTGGGGGGTGTGGAAGGAGATGATGGGGCATCCTGGGTGACGGGCTGCCATGGTGATTAAGCACCGCGGTCCAAGTTGAAGCGTCCTTCGCACGAAGCGGGGTTTAGACAAAGGAGTTCATGGCGTTGACGGGCGACGGCGCCTCCGAGCTCTCGTTGCCCTCGTGCGTGTCCTTCTCTTTCTTGCCGCTGTACTGGCCGATGAAGGAGCCGTCCTCGTTGAACTGGCCGTCCCCGCCCTCCCCGTAGTCCACCAGGCTGTCGTCGCTCTCGTCGCGCCGCACCGTGCCGTTTGATGGCGTCCGGCTGCCCTTCAGTGGCTTGTGGTCCTCTGTGTCACTGTTAAAAAAAAACCCAAAAGAGCACGTTTGTCATTTCGAAATGTCTTGAACCTTCGACCTCATGTTGGACACAGGTGACTCTGGTGCATCGACTACAATGAACATTTGCTGTACCCTGCACCCGCTTTATGGAAGATTTGTTAATCTTTTTATGCCAGCCAAAGAAAAAAATAAATCAAATATATGAATGACAGCCAATTTCGAGCATTCTGACTGTTTTTTGCTCTGCTTCATGGCTTTAACATTTGATAAATTTTACAAACTATTGACATGCTATGTAGTAGTAGTAGTGGTATTTAGTAGTGTGTGCGTGAGATGGGCCATGTTCACAAGCGTCAAGCATTGTTATGCTACAAGGTGATCTCACTCAAAACACCAATACTGCCGTCTGCTGGTGTTTTATTTTTTTTTCAGGACACTACAAAACCGAAATCCCGTTTAAAAATAACTATATTTGTGCAGGCCAAAACGACTGAAACAGCTGGGCCTTTGCTAGAAGCTAAATGGCTGATGGGAGTGGGGATGTGGCCAAGTGTAGGCTAAGTGAGCTAATAATCATTCAACAAGGAAAGACAAGAACTGTAACTAATAAAATAGATGTTGGCTTTTTTTTTTCTACAACTAAAAGAGTTAATCGCATTAAGTTTGTTAAAGCGGACTAATGTACTTTTGGTTCATGAGATGGTTTCTAGGGTTAGTTGATGTTTAGTCTTGCCTCTGTGGTGCATTTGGTATTGGGCTCCGCTGATGTCTTGGCAGCTTCGCATAATGTTCTATGTACAAATAACCACAGTACGTGAGCAAGTACCAAAGGGAATGAGGAGAGAGAGAGAGGAAAAAAAAAAGCGTGTCTGTCTTACCTGTATTCTCCAAAGGTGCCATCGTCCTCCTTCATGGGCTGGATCTCGGGGTCTTGGTGGGCTTCTTCTTTCTCTTTCACTATTGATGACATAAAAAAAATGACGATTGTTTTAAATACTATGTTGGTCATTTAGCTTTTATTAGCAAAAACGCTTTGTTTTAGCATTAGTTTTAGGTTGGGTTTTTTTTTTTTTATATGTGGTGTATCAGTGGAAAGCAAGATGGGGGGGGGGGGGTTCCCGGTTTTACCTGGATACTTTCCGCCCTTGTTCCTCTTGATGAAGCAGACGATGAGGAGCACCAGGATGAGCAGAGCGATGGCGCACATCAGCCCGATGAACCAGCCTTGCGTGGCGATGTCCACGTGCCGACTGGCCACGGCTACAAAACGCACAAAGATCCAGCCCGTTTTTTTTAAAAAAGGGTACGTGGGGGGTAGTCGATGGTGGAAGTCATGATGCAAGACAAATTTGCAATGATAGACAGAAATAAAGGGGGGAGGATAGGGAGGACACGGGAAGAGTAAAATGAGATTTCTAGCGAGTGAGTGCAACTTGAGATGGGGCTACGCTAAGTCAGAAAGTAAATTCTGAGGTGACGAATGGGACTCATGAGACAAAAAGGAACTACGCTGAGGCATGCCGCCTCACCTGGCACCGTAACCACCTCTTCGTTTGTGGCGTGGAGCGTCGGCCCGGCCGGGTCTCGAGCTACCACGCGCACCCTATAGGACGTCCCTGGCTTTAAGCCTTTTAAAATATGCGAGTGCGAGCCGTTGACCGACTCCTTTTTCCAGTCCTCTTTACCTGAAATCGAGAGTTGCGGGTGGAGAGGAGAGACGTTTACTTCCCGGGGAGACGCCCGCCATTTGAAGATCGTATTGCTGCAAGCGCCGAGCGGAGGCGAGCCTTACTGTTTTCCACCGTGTATTCCACATAAATGTTCTTATGGTGTCCAAAGTATTCCCAAGTGATCAGCGCGCACTCCTCCGAAACGGATGTGTTCACGATGCCAAACACCGGGCCTACAGAGGGCGCTGAATACATAACGGAAAGGGGCGGCGTGTGTTTGGAATCAAAACACCGTGTATGGTATTTACAGCTTTTCGGTGAAGTTTCAGGATGAACCGTTTTAACGTCATGTGATGTCACACACTCATAATGGGTCACAACATTAAGATTAAAGGTGACAGGTTGTAGCGCATCTTGAAATTTCACCGAAAATGTGACTAACTGACTGCCTTGAATTTGATTCTTGCGTCGGGTCAAGTTGGCGGCTTTCGGTTCGAAAGCCAACGAGAGTGAGCGGCAGCACAGATAAGAGACAGAGGGGAAAGCTTGTGTACCCTTGTGAAGCGGGGGGTGCGCAGACCGAGTGACGGGGGAGGTTGGGTGAGAAGGGGGCTCGGTGGGGCCTGAAAGAACACGGAAAAGAGTGAGACAACACAGAGAAAGTCAACCGCGCACTCGCTCCAACGCCCAAAATGCAGACGGCGTGCCAGTCGATCACATCACAGTACATCATTCTCAAGCAGGGGGGGACGGGCCGCTTGGGGGCCCGCGCTTCACACTTTTCCCACCTCTGCTCTCAAGCGCGGTGAGTCGAGCGGTGAAATAAGCACGTGCAGGATCAGCATGCATCTCGCTACCTTCTCGAAAGTGCAAAAACAACAAAGAGCGTCTTGCGGTTGTTGCGGCTGGAGTTTAGGAATGGCAAAATGCGGCGGCGCAACGTTCGGCTTATGACATAACGTGGCGAGCATATACTGCCGCACGTGGCGTACGCCTTCCTCTGTTGGGGATTTTTCAACATGCAGGGCGACTAAAGTGAACTCCAACGGGTTACCTTTGCCCGTCCCGACAGTGGGACGACTGTGAGCTTTGAGAGAAAAGGAAAGAAAAGAGATTGCGGTGCTTTTTTTTTTTTTTTCCTTCCCGCCCTTGTAAGCGGGCTCAATCGTCGTCGCGAAGCCGAGGCGTGCGCTCACTCACTGCTTTCCATGATGGTGGAGGCCTCTTTGGTGAGATTGGCGCCAGCGCCTTTGACGGTCTTTGCGCTCAGGTGGAACTTGTAGAGGACGCTGGAGTTCAGGTTGTCCAGCGTCACCGTGGTCTCGTTGACCGGGAAATCCATGACGGTGACCGGCCCCGCTTCTGTGGTGTTTACAACTGAGAAAGAAGACACAAGTGTGGTTTGTGTGTGTGTGTTTTTTTTTTTTTTTTTGTCTCTTCACAAAGACGTGAAGTGGCTGCTGGTACCTGGCTGGTATTGAAGCGTGTAGCCAATCAGGCGTCCGTTTTTGTGCAGTGGTGGGCCCCATTCCAGAGTGAGAGAGTCCAAACTGGGATTCAAGACGTTTAGAAAAGAAGGTGGTCCTGGGACTAAATCAGAACATGGTACAAATATTTGGGAGGGGACTTCGAAATAATTATTTTTAAAGGCCAAATATCGCGTACAGACCTCCCTCGGGTGTCTCAAACTGCTTGTCCTGACTCTGAGGACCTTCTCCTTTGCTATTCAGGACCCTGATGAAGATGATGTAGAGGCTGTAGGGTTGCAGGCCCGGCAGACGCCCTTCGGTGCGGTTCCCGCTGAAGGTCACAACCTGTTCTTCCGACTCCTGATCCGCTTCCTCCTCGGTCTCGTGCAAGCCTCGCTGCCGACGGTAGTAAACCTGCGGGCGATGTAGCGATGGGAGGCGACGATTAACGTAATTCTGACTGTCTTCATGTGATTTTTACTTTGGGTAGGGCGCTTTGTATGCAGCAATGGTTGGGTTTAAAGTGCCTCTACAAATAACTCATCCTTGTTGCTGTGTTTTACTAAAAAAAAAAAAAAAAAAAAAAAAAAAAAACTACAGTCAAGTGCCAGGGCTGAGCGTGACAGCTCGTGGTGAATGATGATTGACATGACGAGCTTCCAGAGCGGTCGCACGCGGGCACAACCTTCCTAACGCTCAAGGCCTCCCATCTTGTTTATTTCCCGGCGAGGTCCGGCACATACCTTGTAGCCCTTCAGTTTCCCCCGGACCGAATGAGGGGACACCGGCTCCCAGTGGACTTGTGCCGTCGTGCTGTTGTGGACTGTGACCAGGACGCCATCCGGGGCGGACCTCGGCACTTGAAGCGCGGTCAAAAAAGAGGAACCGGTGAGCAAAGAGGAATTTGTTTTGTGAGGAATTTAAACGCGGACGCCGCTCACAGTCTTCCCCCGAGTATCCGATGACGACTTCCGCCTCGGGCCCGTTGCCGTAATCGTTGAGAGCTTGAACTTTGATCTCGTAGGGAACGTAGACGGGAAGTCCGGACACGACAAGATGTGAGCCGTTGGCCACCGTCTTGGAGGACCAATCCTGATCCACGTGCCTCTGTCTCCACAGCACCTTGTACTCCAGACCGGGCCCATTGGACTGGAAGCCTGTGAGCGACTAATCGGACATTTTAGCTGAGGTCAGTCATTTGCCGTGCACGGGCGGGCAGTAAACGCTTCGACTCAACAAAAGCCCCGAGACTAAGTATCGCGGCAGCGCTTTCAGGCCTGCCTTGATGTGACATCGCCACCAGATGTCACTGTTTGCGCTCAGCTTGAGAATGTAATCGCTTACTGTCCAGGAGATGACCAGGTTGCCAGGTTCCGTTCCTTTTCCTTGAACATCCGAAGGATTCTCATCAGGGGCTGCGATGCCAAAGAAAGCACGACAACATGAATGGGCGACTTCGAAAAGATTGACGGGAAATTAGCAGCCGCGTCCGGTAACCTACCCGCCGGGTTGGTTCTGTACTGGCGCGACGGCTGGCTGGCTCGGCTGTAGCCCACCTGGTTCTTGGCCAGAACCCGGAAGGAGTAGTAGACGTACGGCGAGAGTTCCAGTTGCGCCGTGGCGCTCGTACCGGCGACCTCTGTCATGTTGACCCAGACGCCGGGCCGGTGTAGCAAATCCTCATACTGGATCAAAAACTCTAAAAAAGAAAACGACCAATCACCTTCCATTGTAAGGCTTTCACGTCACAATATAAACCAGTTGGAAAAAAATAAAAATAAGACATACTTTGTGTGGGACTGTTGTGTTCATCTCCGGGGAACCAGGTGAGCTGAACACTGCGTTCAGTTTGGTCAGTGAGTTCTAGATCAGTAGGCGGGTCGGGTTTCTCTGTCAAGACAAGAAACTCCTTCAACGACTGGAAAAAAACGAGCATTTGGAAATGTTTTGTTCATTTTATCGAGTAATATTCGGTGAGTGACAATGTCAGTCTTAATGAGGGAATGAGAATAAAGTTATTAAAAAAATAATACTGACGTCTATAAAAAATTGGAATCCATTATTTTAAATAAACTTGATTTTTTTTTTCCCATTTGTGACCCCTCCACCCCCCAAAAAAAATATCTAATCTGTCAAAATGCAAATCATAGCATAAGGCACACACGCAGAGTCTAATTTCGGTCCAAAAGAAGATCAATCGAAATGTTCGATGAGGGTGAGGGTTCAAAGGGTGCAGACAAGGTCACATGACTACACTGCAGACAGGATTTGTTTACCGTAGAAAATAGCTGGAGTGGGAGTAGCCTCTGAGAGAGCAAGAATCAAGAGTAGAGTACACAAAGTTAGTGTAAGTGACGCACACTTGAGACAGCGCAAGAAAAGCAGGGAAAAAAAAAAAGTGGTCAAGCCTAAAGGAACAAAAATAGAAGCTGCCGTTGGCTTCTCGACATTCTCAGCAAGCGTCACAAAGCGGACGCGGGCGAAATAAAGAGCGGAAGTACCGACGACAGTCAGCGTGGCGCTGGCCGAGTCCCGGTCCAGAGTGGTGTTCATGATGCACGTGTACGTGCCCTCATCTTCCTCCGTCACATCTTTGATGACCAAGCTGTCCGTGTCCACCTCAAACCTGACAATCGGAAAGATATGGCCACGTTGGCGGGCGTCGCCGAGTACACGTCGCGTCGCGTCGAGCTCACCTCTCGTCGTCGGGCAGCTCGCCGCCGTTTTTGAGCCAGGTCATGGTGGGGACGAGGGACGGGTCGTGCTTGACTTTACACTCGAAGACGGCGCTGGTGCCCCGTTGCGCCACTTTGTATTCTGGCTGCTTGAGGATGCGCGTGGGCTCCTTCACCTCCAGGAAAACGTGGTTCTCCTTGACGCCCAGGTTGTTGGTGGCGATGCACGTGTACTTGCCGCTGTTTTGCGACTGGGCCACGTTGATCTCCAGGGTACCGTTTTCGTGGATCACATAGGGGTCTTCGCTCTTGATGCTGATCAGACTATCCTTGAACCTACGGAGAAGCAAATTCATTTAAGAGCCGGGCATTTGGGGGGGCAGTTGATAGCAAAGGGATTTTTACCATGTGATGGTCGGGATGGGCGAGCCGAACGTGGCGCAATGCAGTAAAGCGGGGCTATTGGTGATGACCTGGTACACTCGGTTGGGGGGAGTGAGCACCCTCGGAGGCTCGGCTACACGGATCAGAGTCCAAATGGCCGTCAGGCTTGGGGAAAGGCCATCGCGACGCCGACGTTTCGGCACTTACCAAGAACGCTGACAAAAGCGTTGGCGAGCAGGTAGCCAAATTCGTTGGAGGCGTTACACTGGTAAACCGCACTGGAGCCGGACTGCACGCGGCTCAGAACGACGGTATCGGCATCCACCTTGCGGGTGGGGTCCTCAGGAGCGTCTGGAGCACATTAAAGAGCAAATACGTGAAAAAAAAAACAACAACAAAAAAAAAAACAGACTTCACAAGCATGTATAAAGGCACGGCGCTCACTTTCTATGGGCACTCCGTTGACAAACCAACTAATATCCGGCTTCGGGTCTCCACTGACTCGGCAAGTCAGGATGCCGGTCTCATTCGGGGCGAGGATCAGGTTCCTGGGAGCGCTGATCCAGAATGGAGCGGCTGTTGAATAGGAAGGCAAATCAGAAAGAGGAAGAAACCCGAGAGCAGCGGCGCAGAGAATGGGGACTTTCTAGTCAGCTTTTTACGGTTTGCCGCTTGAAGGGGATCGAAAGGTGCTCCTACCTTTAACGGTAACCTTGATGACGTGGTGCGCCGTGCCCAGGCGGTTGGTGGCCGCGCAAGTGTAGTCGCCGGCGTCGGCTTCGCCGACGTCCACAATCTTCAGGGTTTTCTTGTAGTTGAGGAAGGAAACCCTGCTGCTCGGCAGCTCTCCTCCATCTTTCTGCCAAGACATCTCCGGAGTGGGCCTGCCGCGATAAGCGTTATTGGCGTCGCTCTGTCGCAAAGGCACGACGCCGCATCCGTTTGCGCACTTACAAGCCTTCGGCGATGCATTCCAGCTCCAGGGTGTCCCCTCGCAGGACCATCTTGGTGCTGGTGGCGCCCAAAGGCGTCATGAAACCGGGACGGCACTCCACGGTCGGGTTGGCTAATTTGCGAGAGGAGAGAAAGCCGGTGAGATCACACCGAAGGCTGTTTGGGGTGGGAGAGGAGCGCGGGAAGTCACGGCGGGCCATTGAGGGCATCGGAGCGGGTGGAAGGGGCGGACGACGAGGGGGGCGACTTACTCTGCAGCACTGTGACGGAGATGGGCTGCTTCTGCTGGATGGTTTGCGTATATGGGAAGCGGGCATAGCAGATGTAGTCGTTCCTGTTGTCCTCTGGGAGCACGTTGGAAAAGTACAAGTCGCCGTTCAGGGCCTGGGACACGCGATTGTCCAGCGGCAGCTTCTGGAAAACTGATGATTTGGAGGAAAGACGTGTCAATTTTTGTTGTTGTTGTCATTTCGGGAAGCCTGCGAGCTCGAAAATGACAAGATTGACTGACTGTTATCCATCCAAAAGATGACGGGAGGGGGCAGCCCTGCCGGGGGGCGGCACGGCAGCACCATCGAGACCCCCATCTGCACTGTGATGGCCTCAAGTCTTTCTTTCGACCACAAGGGGGACCCTGCGAGTCACCAGGGGGCAGAGGAGGCATATTCACACCATAGGTGACCATTTTCCGATCATGTCCATCAGAGGGCCCCAACCACCGGTCAGCGGGCCCATACCGAGACAGATTTTTTTTTTTTTTTTGCTGAGCATCAATCAACACGCCCCCGTCGATTTACCTTCCCAAGAGCAATATAAATAGGGCTGGGTGAACAACATGTACTAGTCGCAACTGGTCGGTGAGACAAAAAAGGTTGAGGAGCACTGATGATGTCGATGAATTCTTACTGGATTGTCTGATGACAATGTTGTTGGAGACGGCCGTGCCGTGATCATTGTGGGCCGTGCACTGGTACGTCCCCTCGTAGGCCTCGGCCTTTTCCCCACTGATGTCAATGACCAAAGTCCCCGAACCGGGCTTCAGGAGAACTTTGGAGTCTTGCTCCACATCAAAATGGCTCCCATTCCTCGTCCAAGAAAAGCTAACAAGAAAACGGGACAGCTGTTATATTGACAGGTTTGTTTTTATATTTTATGGCCGAGAAGGAATCGACATTAATCATTAAGTGAGTTGGAGGAGGTCGTTTCCATGCTGGCTTATTCGGTCTGACAGGCGAGTGTGTTTCTTGGGGTTGCTGTCCTTGACAACCGTTGCCAAGGCAAGTCTTTTTTATTTTTTTTGTGAATCTCTGCTCAGATCAATCGTTTCAGTGAAGAGAGATGAAAACTAAAATCGGCGCTAAGAGATGCGAAGGTGCAGTTGTTGCGTACCTGGGGTGAGGCTTCCCCTTGGCTTCACAGTGGATGACGATGTTCTCCCGCGGGTCAAAGATGTAATCCTTCGGGGACTGCAGCGTAATCGTGGGGGGCTGGGGCACTGCGGGGAGTCAGGAGAGTTATTCATACACACGCAGTGACGTTTTGAAACACAACCACGGCGTGCCAGGAAACATCACGGCAAGCGACACCACGAGGACAAAAGTATCGGGACAGAACCAAAGAAACTATTCCTCCGGTTGTGTCCCGAAACTTTTGTCATATTGTGTGAGTCCAACAACTTCAAAACCAGCATTTCGAAAAGAAAAATCATAACCGCATGCAACAATGTAAATCAAAGAAGAAGGGGGGTGGGGAGGGGCTCACACTCGAGATGACAATTGGTGCAAACTTACATCCTTCCAGGACCTTAGCTTTTGGTCCGCCAGGGGAACGCAGACACACAGTGACAGAATATGACGGAGAGGGGGTTAGTTTTTCCGGTGAGCTTCAAGAGAAATTGAGCTTTTTAATTGTGCTACTTGGCAGATTCAAGAAATGTACAGTAGGGGGGCACTCAATGTTAAAAAAGTAAGACATTAAAAACATAACCCTTTTGTAACTTGAATTAGAGTTTCCGGGCGCTTCATGAAACAAGAAAGGTCCTTACGATCAAGGGGCACTTCCAGCGCTGATGCCACGTGACTCACGAGGATCACGAGGAGAACGGCGCCAGAGCCCACGGACCTCATCGTATTCTCGCCCGCGTTCAGGTGGAGCACGGCCAAGTCCATTTTGTTCGGCTGGACCTTGCTGTGGTGAAGAAGAGTCAAAAATGACTGCAAATGAGGTGACCCGATTATTTTCCGTTTGGAAATAAAGCAAACTCAACGACACCGGCTGGGGGCTTATCTGCTACAAAAGCATCCCACACAATAGGATGCACTTGACTGGCATTTTCGAGTCACTCGCATGACATCTCTCCGGCCCTCGGGGTCAAACCGGGCACCAATTACGAGAGCACCCCACATGTTCGCCGTTCAACATGTGCCATGCGAGGGCACCCGAGCGGAACCGACCCACACGCGAGCGAGCGAGCGCCCGCGGGCCTCTGCCATCTTTTCTAAAGCGACGCGCCACCACACAAACAAACGCAAGCATGTTGAATTGAACGGGCTTTGGCAAACGATGACGGAAGGCATCAAAGTGCATCATTCCAATCCGTCAGAACAACTCGCGGGTGTGTCATCGCTCATCTTTTGGCTCGCGGGTGAGAACCCAAAAGGTCAAAGGGGCACCCTGCAACACTGCCTCGGTCACTCCATCCTTCTATTTCCAGTCGTGGCCGCCTCATGACGAAGTCCTTACTGAGCACGCGATCGCCATAAATTGGGAGGACGCCGGGCAAAGCGCCTGGCGCTCTTGACACGACAACCCAAACGTCCCCTTTTGATTGGATCCGAAAGCAACATCGGAAGTTGCTCAGCGCGCAGCCTTGTCAGACAGAGTCGCTGAGGGCTGGCAGCCCGACGAGGCGGATAAGGAGGACAAGGGCCGCACATTGGGAAGCGGGGGACGCAAATGGTCATCTGCGGCCACGTCACTAAAAATTCACTGACGTGTTAAAATGTGAACGAATAAAAAAAAAAAAAAAAAAAAAAGAGAAGCAACTGTGAGCACTGATGCTGCAGCGTGCCATAAAAGACTCAAAGCTCGGTTAGCGTGACAATAAAGTTGGGGATGGAGTACTAAAAAAGCTACTTTGCCCGTGGAGCTGACATCACACAGCTGTTGAATGAAAGGAATAAAGTGCGTGCGTACCGGTCATCTGTCGAAGAAAACGACTCGGCCCCAGGCTGCCTCACATCTACTTTTATAAATCATCACCAAAGCAGTTTTGCTCTCAAAGCCCATAAAGAAGCTGTAAGGTGAGAAAATAGCCCAGAGAAACTATTTATTGATGTTGGACACTGAGTCAAGGTTAAACGCTTTGTTCCGAGCTCCGCTCAGAGCGCAGTCTTTTCCCACACTGTCTGGGAAAGCATGCAAATTGTCACGCAAATAATCGGAATCTCACGGCTTGTTGTGTCAATGTCTCGAGTAGGGAGGTTTTGTTTTCCCTCTCCAAGGATGAGACTCCAAAACCCGCCGCTAACTGCTGACTCCATCAGGAGGCGAAACGGGGAGTTGCCTCGGGAGCACGTGCAGTCACCACAAACGAGCTCGCCGGCGGAACCCCCCCCCCCCCCCCACCCCCACTCCCTCGATTGCCGGGGGCGGTTGGCCATTCTCGCATCATCCGCACAATCCCTGCCGGCTTTGGGAAGTGCTGATGGTCAGCGAGATGCGGGCCGTGTCTCTGCCACATCCGCGAGGCGCCCCCGACCTATTGTCCCTCTCGTGTTGTTTACCGGCGGGCAGAGCGCTGAAACGGCAGGGCTACTGCAGGGCATCAAGTGACACCTCACGGGAGCTAGCTAGCGTCAGGAGAGTCGCTCACTATGATGTGGGCTTTAAAAAAAAATATATATATACAAAACTTGTATATATCTGTAAAAAATATATAAATGTTCATCTGAATTACTCGCAGAAGGGCGCATTCAAAACACCCCCCACCCCCCTCCACATGACTCACTATTAGACTTCAGCGTGACACGAGGCAGTGGCTATTCAGGTAACGATGACAGTAATGGGAAGTGCCGTGTTACGCAAGACCCTTCCCATGTGGCTGACCACGGCAGTGATTCTAAACACACGTCATCTGCGGCAACTCTCCGCAATCAGCTCAAAAGTTCATCTTAAACGACGACTTGTGCGATAATAAGTCTGCAAGAGATCTTCCTTACCTGTCAGGGTGTGACCGCCGCGTTCCGCTTCCAGGAAATGGCCCAGATCTGCAATCCAAGTGAGAGCGCGCGTCATGAGGTTCATGTTAATGATAAACAGAAAAAATGGGTTTGGTATAGCAGCGATCGCGGAACTCGGTCAAAGCGAATTTTAGAGGAGATATATATCTTTTTTTAATCATGTTGATATAGACTCCCTGTTCATTTGCATCTATGTTCAATATTGGTGACATTTTTGTTCTTATGAAGGCAATCAAATCTAGTTCCTGCGGGCCTCTCGGGAATGACCAGTCTTGCTGACCTTTAATCAATGACCTCGATGTCTCCCGCCATTTTTATTGCAACGTTAGGGGCAATAAAAATGGCTTCCTTCCGTGACCGTGAATACATTCCGATAATCTACGCGGAGAGTCTCCGTTCATCTCATGTTAGCGACAAAAATAAATCAGGAAAGAAATAAAAATAGTCCCGTTCGGACACGCAGCCATGACGAGCGCCTTCAGCTCGGCCCGGGCAACAAGGCAAACGATGCGAGTGGCCTTTAATAGGCCGGGAATGGCGACGTTTCAAATGATTGGCTCATGTGGGAAGACGAGAGAGAGAGAGAGAGAGATGGGGGCGGGGGGGGGTCCTATTCATTGAACCGGCTGAGGAGCGACAGATTGGAAGGAGAGCGGCAAGCCAGGCCCAAGCTGTGACATGTTGCCATGGAAACAAAACCAGACAGGCAACACTAAGACGGCACCCGATTTCAAAAGCATCACGCCGCAGTCGACGCAATTTGAAGACAAGTCCGCCGAAGTGAATTTAATAACTTCAACTCAAGTGAAAACCCGACGGGGCGGCGAAACTAAGACGACGGTCCGCCGTCTGCGTGCGAATGCATGAGAGAAAAAAAAGTGGAGAGAAACATGCATTATTAACGGACAAATCTAAAAGCATTTCATGGACAGAAGACGCGAGGGGGGGTGAAAGGATATGGGGAGCCGCGTTGCCGTGGCAATGCAACGCTCGAAATTGTCAAAAGTAGACAAACTATTCTTGCTAAAGTGGGTAAGTACAGCTTTATATTTAAATACCTTTTAGATTTTTTTTTTTTTTTTTGCTCCTGTATTGGAGCAAGATATCCAGTCATCAAACAATCTATAAGTTTCACACCGACGACTATCATAAAAATAAAAAAATAAAAAAACACACACACACAACAGCGATATAACTAGATCACATGACCAAGCTGCGATTGCTATGAATATGGAAATAATTCCCTCGAGAGGCCGGCACGACATCACCATCAACGTTTTGTCTCACGGGGGACGCGGCGCGCAACAAAAGCCTGCTGCGCTCCGATTTACTGTCTGCGATTGAATGAGCTGCCTAAGTGACATTTTATGGACCCGCTGGGACTCGACACGTGACCCAATATTTTAGCCAGTGAGCGTGTGAACGCCTTCCCCCTGTCGACTTTCTTTTGTCTGCCGAATTCCGCCCATGTGCGTTTCATCTGTGCAATTAGCCCAAAAAACAAAACTACATTTAAGTGGCACGATTGGGAAAAGTGCGGCACCTGCAGCCTATCATGCGCCATCTGGGTGTGCGATGAGAAAGCCTCAGGCCAACCAGAGAACATCTGTCTCGATGTTTCCGCTGTCCCAAAAAACATGACAAATGACCTAATTAAGGTAATGTGTGTCATTTTGCGGGAAAAAAAGAAGAAAAAAAATGGCCCACTTAGTACCGTGAGGCCTCGATTTAACCTTGAGTAGACTAGAGCAGGCTAAACGTGGCCGCCGTGTTGGCAGCGGAAATAGTCCCTTTCAAATATCATGAAAGTCTGAACGTTAGCTTAGCGTCACCGAAGTCACAAGGTCAAGGTGCGTCTTTTTTTATGCTGTCAAAAACAATGTGACAAAACTTCAAGTGTTGCTGCAGAATAGATTTGACTTAAGGTGCCGATTCTCCCTGGAGAATGCTCTTCAAACTTCGAGGCATACACAGGAGGTGTTCCTCAGCTTGGACGGAGGTCTGCGCGCCATTAAGTGCCCCCCCCACCCCTCGAATACGCATGTGGCCCTTAAAGACACAACCGAAAGTCAAGGCGGCAGTTGCCATGACTCTACAAGTGCCGCTTTAATTTGAACAGTCTGAGAATGTCCTTCAGATGGGATGTAACGCACACAGAGCGTGCACTCTGCAATAAAAGCGCAGGGAGAGCAGAGTTTAATCAGAGAGATTTACGACCCCCTTGGAAGTTACCCGCCCCCCGCCCCACTCCACCACCACCACCACCTGAAGAGGTTAAAAGGACAAATCTCCCTTTTCTGCAGTTCCCACCCTTGACATGCCTTCGTGGCACCACACGGGGCACACGATGGAGCCATCGCAAATGTGCCACAGGGATGGTACTCTTTAAAAAAAAAAAGCGCAAGGATGGAGCATATTGTTGATGGCTCCCAGCATCTCGGAGCACAGCGCTTGCGAGACCTCTGATGCTTGAACCACATCGAGAGGGCCTCATCGAGCAAAAGCTGGGGCCTTCGGTGACAAGACATGTCAAAGACGCGTTGGGAAGGCGTCCCTGAGATCCCTTGGAGACCGCCTCGGCCACGGCAAAGACAAAGATGGCGAGGGAACGACAAAAGGAAATGAGAACGTTGGGCCATAAAGCGCCTTTGGATGAGGGTGGGTCAACACGGGACAGATATGGAGCAGGGGACGCCTGGGAGACGACTAATATTGACCGACTATAGGCAAACGCAGGCGGACGGGTGGCGGGGAAGGAAAACATAACCAACCTAATATTTGTGTTGACACTTTGGGACCTTTAGTAGGAAATTGAAAAAAAAACGGTTGAGCAGCGCAACAGTTCCAAAAGACGAGCTTGGAACGTACTGCTCAAAGTCTTTCTACTTTGCGCTCAGTTATTTGAGATTTGTCGATTACCTTACTCTTTTTTTTGCACAATAGTGACTTTTTTTTTTATGTTGCACTCCGCAAATGCTCCACATATAAAAAAAAATTAATACTAAAACTAATAAAAACTTGACTAAAATGAAGCATTAAAAAAAAAAAAAAAAAACTTGCTCCACCACATATATTAAATTCTGCACTAACGATCCTAATTTGGTTTATTTTCTCAAAAATTGGACAAAGTCACGGCGGGAAAGATGACACCAGATTGCACTTGTTTTTTTGTTTTTTTTACTCCAAGCGCCAAGTCTGATCGTCGCAAGTCTCGCGCGCCCGAATGGATCTAATTTCAGCGGATCTGCTACTTTTAATCAAGAAAATAGATGGCCGCCTCTTCATTTGGAGGTTGCGTTGCTCTCACGAGAGCTTCTGTAAAGCCATGAGTCTTTGCAAATCTGTTGACAGGCTGTATGTCATTGAAAACCAAACTGGAAGGTCAAAAAAAAAAAAAAAAAAGCATCGCCACTGCAAGGCTAACGGTTGCCGACCCAAGCGGGTTCAACATTTAAAAGCTGTCAGCCCCCGAAAAGAAACAATACAGCGTCACGAGCAAACGGTCCAAGGGGGACTCTGGATGATTAGGATTCAGTAACTGAGTATATCCCTCTTCAAGTGGATTTGACCCGCTTTAATGAGCCTACAAAAGGATCACTCAGTTTACAATTAGCAGAAGGAGGGGGGCGGGGCTTGCTTTCACTGTCAGCGTCGCCTTCGGGGTCTCGACTCTAATCACCGGATCAATAGCCCTCATTGTCAATTCAACGTCACGCGCTGACACGTACGGATCGGCGACGTGTGAGCCACGCCACTCGCTCGCCTTCACATTGAAAAACATTTTTTTTCAATGTGTTTTTTTTTTTTTTTTTTTTATGTGCCTTGAGCCCAATGTGCAGTCCGGACAAAAAGGGTTTCCCCAAAAGGCCAGTTTAAAAAAAAAAAAAAAGAGGCAAACAGTATGTCAGGAGTACCAAAGCATCCCTGGCTGCCCGCCAAGTCATTAAACAAAGTTAATTACGGTCTTGCTCGCTCCAAAAGATGTTAAGAAGCAGCTGCCGTCTTCAAATTACAAGAAAAATGTGCTCGGGGTTTATCGAGAGAGCAACATTCCGAGCGGAGATTACCGCATTTACTTTGGTGATCGACGATTTCTTCAATGCGACCACAAAGTGATGGAGCCGCTTCGGTTTGACGATCAAAGGCCGCTTCTATTTTGAGCTACACGATCACACAAATGGAAGAAGCCGCATGAGACTTTTTAGCCTCGGTGAAGAAATACGGGGGGGGGGGGGGGGGAGCAAAAACGAAAAATGAACATCCAGAATGCCAAAGTAGCCTGGATATGATAAGACACACCGCATATGGGACACCAAGCGCCGCAGATTTAAGGCTAAAAATGCGACCGACTTTTAAGTGTCCCGAAATCAGGCAAAGGAGATGACGTTCAGTGTGGCGGTGGCCGCACATGCAAACGGTTTTGCAAATTTCCCAACACGATTTGACTTGTATTTTTTTTGTGAAGCGTACCCTCCAAAATCCAAAGCCTTGCCTCGGAATCTTGATTTCCGGGTCACCTTTGCTTTCCAGATTTCTCTTCAGGCCAATTCCCGCATGCACGCGATGACGTGTGTTTGCTTTAGCCGAGGATTTACGCCTTATACAAAGTCACGCCGGAGCGCGGCCTATTTTGGTACACACAACATATTTTACGTTTCCGTAAGCCGGTGACAATCGGCAAAACGCTTCTGCGGTGAAGTCAGACTTCCTGCTCGAGGCCAAACTCAAAGGAGGCCGAGCTAAACCGAGCTGGGGGATTTTCTCCATTCGTTTATCGAGACGGCCTTCTCTCTGCTGAGAGCTCGTCTGCAGATGCACAAAGAGAAAAAAAAAATTGAAGCATGTTGAAATATTCTCTCAAATTGACACTGCAAATCAGGCTTGAGAAGCAGCACTGGAATGGCCCAGAAATTAAAACGAAGCACAACGATCGCCGAGTCTGATAGGCTCTCACGGTCGTCATGCGATCGTGATGTCTTGATGAGTCGGAGCTCTTTCATGGCTTCTTTGACCTCAATCATTTTCCAACTGTGCTGAAGAAAATATGATTTTCGGCCAACTCTAAAACGAGTTGTTCTTCCAGCACTCCACACAGCCGACTTGCGCAACCTTTCTAGAACGTGCGCGATCCCGGCATTCACCCGCACCGAAAACGAGGCACCCGAGGCCCTGAATATGACACAAAGGCTCGACATCAGCGGTTGCTCAGCAAAAAAACGTGAATGACGCTAGCGCGTGTGTCTCCTCGGATAAATCCGCCGCCTGCGGTCGTACTTCAGAACGCAGCTGGTGATCACGGCGCCATGGCGACCGGCGGTCGTCTTTCATTACTCTTGACTGGACTTCACCTTCACCGGACTAATCTGCCTGGTCCTTGTTTAGAACTGGAGAACAAATCTGAAGAAATATCTCAGCAAAAAATTGCGCTCTTGGCGGCATCCAAATCCCCCCACACACACAAAACCATTTTTTTTCCCTCGCTTCATCAATCCTCATCCTGTCATGCCAATTTATTGTGTCCTCCTACTTTGAAAGAAACCTGCCACCCAAACACGGCCCAGCTGTGAGGTGAGGGCGCAGGTTACCAGAGGCCGTTTGGGGGGGTGGGTGATCATACCCCTCTCCCACTTTCTGACTCACACGAGTCATCATCGCCGCAGGGTGCGAATGCTATTAAGCCAAAAGTATACAGAATCATCTGGGTGCTAATTGTATTAATTTGCCTGCTGTGTCCACATTGGATCAGCGTTCTAGTCAAATGAGGCGGCATTTCAAAACACAGAGAGCCATCGACAAAACGATGCTCTGCACTGTGTGCCAGCGTGCAAGGAAATCGGGGTACAAGTACACACGTGCGGCTAATACAGGAAGGGTTTGGCATCCCTCCAACAAAAGAGGGTTTGAAAAGTATCTCGAAACAATACATTTGGTGGGTGGAGCATTTCAATTGTAATGTGGTTCCGTATCAATGACAAGAATATTTTAAGAATATTCTATTAATTAAAATGGCTGACAATCCAGACTAAGGTGGACTCGAGTGGCTCGTGATTAGACAGTTGAGGGTGAAGGGAACACCTCAAAATGTAGATATGCATACACAGCTCTACTTTCTGACCATGCAAATAATTGATCAGCGATAATTGATCTTTCCCTACTCTTAATTAGCCATTGAGTTGGCTCAACAGCAAAAGGCCGCTGAAGTCTCTCGAAAACGCGCAATATGAGCATCCGTGAGATGAAGGCCCATGTGGCTAAGATGTGCACCGCCGGCGTTTTGGAAACGAACACGTCCAGAAATGGAGCTTGCGGCTACATCTGGCGGCGGTGCACCTCGGGCCCGGATGCACCGGCTGGCTGCAACAATGAAGCGATCGCACGGCTGCCGCTACGATACCACCGCCGCAATTCAGGTGTACTACAAGAGCATCCTTCCTGCACGGAGAGCCACGCAATGCCTTTCATCCCTCGAGATGCTCCGCTGCTCACGAGACGAGAATCATCAAGAAATTAAAAACAACAATCTTCCTCCATATTGCGGGACCTGCTCATCGTCACGGGGAGCCGAATCAATGTGCACTGCACCATTATGCTCCGGCAACACGCACGCCTTCCATCTCCTCGTCAATACAAGAATGGCGTTCGAACTCACAGCTTGCTGCAAATCCGATGTGGCGTCCTGCCCCCTTGCCTCGGCCCAGCTCCGCGCGCGACGCCGGTGGCGATGGTGCTGATGGTGAGGGGAGCGTCCGGACAGCCTCGCGTGTCCGTCCCTCCCGGCCACTGCAGTAGCAACAGACTGTGGTCCTCACCTCTACCGATCCTCCCCTCCTCCGACTCGTCCCGCAGCCGAAACGTGAAGAATGCTCCCCCTACAGGGGAGAACACGCACTTGCTAATATATACACGTTGATGAGCCATCACGTTGTGTCCTGTAAATTATACGCGTAGTAGTATTTCTCTAAACAAAATTTGAGTTTTTTTAGAATCGTGTACTACATTTGTGGTGTGAAGTGACAGCTTATCAGAGTGACAAAATCGTTTTTGAGCGTATTTGTATTTGTACATCTGGGAACAGCGACCCCGTTGACATGTGTGGCAGGAGTTGGTAATGCAGGCATACATACATAACTTTTTAGGCGTTAAACAAAGAAATATGCCATATTACAATATTTCTGTTTTCGTCTATTTATTAAATTGGATTCCTTCAGTCTTGGAGCATTAACTAAAAACTTTTTTTTAACCGTGTTAAGTGCTATCTTGAGTATCATGTTTGATTTTGGATGTGTTTGGAAAAGAGTGAAACATGGAATCGATTTATGTTAAACTACTGATCAGATGTTTATGCAATAAACACGAGGTATCTTAAGACTTATGTGTGTGTGTGTATGTGTTACTTCATCATGAGGCATTACTCACTCCAAACAAGATCCGTTCCGTCATATAAATTGCGTGCAGCAACACTCACCGCCGAGGGCAAGTGAGTCGCTTCAGGGTCAAATCAGGCCAACCTGCAGTTTTAGACATGGAGCTCTCTGCACGATTTCACTTTTTTTTTTTTTTAAAAAGATGTCCATGCGCCGACTGGCTGGTGAGACATATGCAACACCTCAATGTTGTTTTGCACCGGGATGGCTGCAGACAGTGTTGACATTGATGCAAGGCCACCGGGCAAATAAGGTTGTTTTTGTGTGTTTGCAGGTGCGTGCGTGCGTGAGACTGCAAGAAGAGACGCATAAGATAGGTGCTGAACAACACTACTGTGCAAAACTTCGCTGCTGACGTGCTGACAGTGGCGTCTCCCCTTCAACACGTTCTTACGGGAGGCCTTGACCTTTCCTTTATGATTAAGCTCATCATTTACAAGATGGCGAACCAAACACTTTCATTTGCCTTTTCCGGCCTTGGGTGATCTGCGCGGTGTACTTTAGAACCAGTCTGCGTGCATTAAACTGTATTAGGGTAAGCCAACTTTGACAATGACCAGACACCTGCTCTTGAACTGTTACTGTTTAGTTTACATGACAGGCTTCCCTTGTGACCAAATGAACTCCTACCAACAGCTCATGACAGGAACGATCAAAATAGCCGTCTCAGAATACAGGTATATAATTCTGAAGGGGGGGGGATGCTGTTTTGAGCGGCACTAGTCAACATTTTTGCAATCATGTAAAATAAACTGCATTATACTTTTTTTTTTTTTAAAGCTACATTGGCGGTTTTGTATTGAAGGCAAATGAGCGCACACACGTTGCACATTGATAAAACTGAAAAAGTGGAGCAGTTGCTAGGGAACGCCGTGAAGACAATTCTGCCTTGCTTTTTTTTTTTTTTGTACTCCAGCATAAAGCGTGGGAGACAGATAGCTCTCGCCATCCTGCACAACTTGGAAGGAGGAATGTGCGCATATGTAACTTTGTCACGCCTGGTCACGTAAACACAGCCCAGCGAGGGACCATCTACTTTACCATAGCCGCACCTCATTTGTCTCGCGTGCCATTCTCGGGTGCAAGGGGGCTGCGACTTCGACCATGCTCGGCACTTCATCCACTTCACCTGCAAAATACTAATGTGAACTGAAAAGTTACATTTGACGTCCAACAAAAAAAATTGATATATATCTCTTACCTTGATAAGTGTATTTCTTCACCTCAATAAAGGGTAGTGCAGATGATTAACACAACAACTGCTTCTTATTCTCCAAATACTACTTCAAAAGCTAAAAATAAGATCAACTTCTACTCCAGGCTGCGTTGACTGCGAATTGCTCTTGGGGGCCCCCTAGTGGCTTGCATGGCCTTAAGCAGCTGCTGGCTTTGCTTTTGCCTTGGGCTGGCAGATTTCACATTGGAGCCTTCCCATCTAAGAGGCACACTACCAGTGAAGGGAAACCGTTGGCATCCATCAAAATATTGTGGTGAAGTTTTCCTCTCTGACTGCATGCGGCGTATCGTCAACGCAACTGGCAAGAGCAGCGCAACCGCTGGAAGTGAATTCAACGGAATTCCGGTGGTTCTTCATTGCCGATCGAAACGAGGCCGAACGGCAAGTCGTCATCCACTGATAGTTGGCATTCCTTGACAAACGCGCATTTTGTCGCCTGAGTGTGCTGGAACAAGCGGATGAGCAAATTCAAAAAGACAAGACGACTTCTTACATTTTTCGTGTGCAAAGATGACAAACGTCTGCCCCAATTTATGACAACGAGTTTATTTCATGAGGTCTGACAGTGACGATGATGGGATTTAAGGATTGCCAAAATCTGCACAGCTGGGCTTTTTTGTCCCCACTAAGAATGATTTTAAATAAGGCCGCCAGAGTGAATAACTGCCATACACTTGTAAACTCATTAAAAACAAGAGAATCGACTCCAGTGCGGGATGAAAACTCTGCATTCACAATATTTGATCACCTCCACAAGATATGGGCTAAACACATTATTTTAGCAGGTGTCTCCTCGTGTGCACCCCTGGCGATAAGAGCGCGAAGCAGGTAACTGTCAAAAAAGACCCTCAAGCTTGTGGCTCAAATAACGAAAAAATATGAAAAAGCCTAAAAGTGCAACTCTGATTTAAATAAACACCAGATCAAATATTATTTACAGGTCTAGCGGTTAAAAATGAACACTTCCAAAGTGCATGAGGGTTTTAGCTCCCCTCCCCGTTTGGTGTTCGAAACAAGCAATCACAATGATGTCATGTGCAATATTGTCACGATTCAAATGGATTATGGAGGCCTTCTTTTTTTCATTACACGTCAAAAAGAATTGAGCCTGCACCTTCCGGCCACACACGTCTAATCCTAATTTGTAAACATGGATGGTCAATCCGCGCTCGTGCCTATGTTAAAATCATTTTTCAAGTTATGAAGGAATCGAAACAATTCATTGCCAAACTACCTACACGCCAACTAAATGTACTGTACAACTTTGTTTTTGTTTTTTTTTTGACTCCTCAACAAACTCTTGGGGTCATCTTACCTTAGCGGACCAGTTAGAGTTTGGAGGTGAAAGGGGGACCATCGTACATGTCCGCCTTGAGCTTGGCCCACTCGCCCAGTCTCTGGATGCAGCTTTTCTCCCGAGTCAGCACGCCGGCCGCCTTGCGCAGCTTGGCGTCGTTGCGCTCCAGGTAGCGCTCGCCCTCGTCCATGAGGAAGTTCAGCTTGTCCACGCGGCTCTCGTTCAGCGGCACGTCCTCGCTCATGTGAGGGTTGAAGCGGAAGTAGGTGTCCGGAGGCAGGAGGGCGTCCAGCATGGTGTGCACTTCTGAAGAATGAATGGACGGGGAAGCGTGGATTTTACTCGAAAAGGCAAACTTTATTGAGCTAAGACGTTATTTCTGTGACCACACTGTTTTTTTTTCCCCTCCGCTTCATTACCAAAGGAGTACCAACAATTTTGTCCACGTGTGTAATGACTCAGAGTGAAATCCGGGCCACGTTAGTTGAATACAAAACAAGATTTGGGCCGTGGTACCTTCTGTATCTGTGGCGCTACTGATGACGTTGGTGAGCTTGGCTTTGAGGCTGGTGTAGGTGGTGCCGTTCTTTCCCGCCACCTCGTGGCGCCCGGTACCCAGAGAGAGCACGCACTGCAGCGGCGTATTCGGCCAGAGGCATTTACACTCGTGGATGGCCAATGCCGTGGGGTTGTTGATCAGGAGGCCTCCATCCTCGAAGAAGAGGAAGAGTTTAGATCATTAGGAACCTTCGGTCGGACAGAAATGTCAACTCTGACAGAATGTCCCATGCTGGCGAATATCGCCCTTTGTGTTGAAAAGTAGAGTAGGAGTGCGAGAGTGGTGGGCGGTTGCGGCTGCTTAAATCATCAATGAAATGCTACTCGGTTCCGTGTGGAATGCGGCGCACTACAGTCGCGCGCTCGCAATCGTTCTTCTGACATGACCGCCTACTTGGGGGGGGCGGTTAAAACACTTGCAGTGAATTTTCAAGATTTTTATCTTTCGCTTAGACATCTTGAAATTTCAGAGTACAAAATAATAAAAATAATAAGCCTTAGGGTGGTTCTAACACTTTGAATTGTCATGTCAGTCGCCATCCAAACTGCTTTGCCACAAGCGCCTGAGCTCTTTGCCATACCTGATGGAGATCTTTCCCAAGGACGTATTCCTGGAAGTAGCCTGGCGCTGCAGAAGACGCTCTGATGGCTTGCCACATTTTGTATTTGCAGTCTCCAAGGTAGTGTGACCTCACTCCTGGCATGAGCCGGTAGTTCCTGAACACAAAGGCCTTCAGAGGCAGGCCCCTGTTCACCAAGGTGCTTACCGCTGACACCTGGTGGACAAATAGAACACTGAGAGAATATATATAAATATAGATATTTTTTTTTTATATCAGGAAAATTAATACTTTGTCGCCATCTTGTGCAATCCTGGTGGTGGTGTTAGTTTCAATACACAGCTGTTCCACTAGTGTGCCCAAATTGTCTTACTTACTTTGGGACAGTTTGGATCTCTGGCACTTTCTATCATGCAGCCCTCACCCATACGTTCCCTAAAGAAAAGAAAATTATTTCGGACAAGATGGCTCGGAATTTGAGCAAAATTAAAGATTCTTAAGAACAAACTTGAGGATGTTTTCCCAAATTTCACTGTCGTAGAAAGCGTGGCTCCAGCCCATCTTGACGGCCCCGACGATGACGTTCTGCTTGAAGACGTCCGAGCCCAATTTCCTGTACATCTGCTCGCATTCTTCGAGAGGGATCTGAAAAATCCCCAGCATGAAAGCCAGGATAGCACCTAAAAGCAAACAACGAGAAGCCGATTGAGGCAAGATGATATTTTACGATGCATGTCGGGATGATGACAGAATACCCGTGCTGACTCCACAGATATAGTCGAAAAGCTGGTGGACTCGTTTTCCCGTCAGGTTCTCCAGTTTGAGGAGGGTCTGCAGAGCCAGTAGTCCTCTGTGTGCAAAAAGCAACAAATGAATTACTGAGAAGAGTTGGGGGAGGATTCCATTTTATACCTTGTCCCCCCTCCATCTATGGCCAGGACTCGGATTCCTCTGCCTTTCACCGGATTCGTATAGCCGACCAGAGCCAGTGACTCTCTCACAGCAGCCTGGAAACGGAGGTCTGTGGCCTGACGCAAACGCAGCAAGCATGGTATAGCTTTCGCCTGTAAAATCAACACACACAGTTTGGAATTGAAGCAAAAAAACTAAACAGCAGACAACTTTTTGTGCTACGCTCGGTTGCTCTGAATCCCGCTCTGCCCATTGCCATGCGGTGTACCGCAGAGTTCAATTTTGGGGCCCCAGCTGGTTTAATGTGCGCTGAAAACACTTTCAAAACGATTCCTGCTCACCTTGATGGCCACGCCACGCGTCTCGGGGAACTCCAGCAGGTGACAGCTGAGTTCCTCCACACGACTGGTGAGGAGCTGGATGTCGTTAACTCTCTGTAAGCCTTTCACAAGCACTCTGGTTCTGTTGTCGACACTCACCCTGGCTATTATCTGCAAAGCAATACACAATGCATGATAAGTTTGCACGAAAAGCCCTTCAAAGAATTGCATTATCTTGATTACCTTCTCCCTTTGAGCCAAAAGTTGCTGCTGCTTGGCTTCATCGGCCTTCTGATCTTCACTCTCCACGTCCTCCACAGAAGCCTCCACTACACTGGCAGCTGCGAGCTTGTCTTTCTCAACACTTTTGACATCCCCTCGGAATTTGGGCACCAGCGGAGCGATGTAATTCCCCACAAAAGCTTGAACACTTGGACGAGGGTAAGACAGATAGTGGGTGAAGCCTTTTTTGGGGGAGCTGGGTAAAACCGCAACGGATGGAGCTGTGCTTTCTGTTGCGGTGGAGTCAAATGGAAGTTTAGCTTCTGGGTGACTGAGGTCTTCAGATGGAGGTGGGGCAGGAGCTGCATCGATGGTCTTGGACGCTGCCGCTGGAGCCAAAACTGGGAAATGGTCGGCACTTCTGGGAGGAAAAGGCTCACTGTATTGCTGGCGCTTGCCTTCTCCTTCCTCCCCGTGCGTGTCCATGCCAAAGTAACTGTTGATGTGCTGGGCTAAGGTCTTGTATGTCTCGTCCATGTTGGTTGTATGGAAGAGCTGCGCTGTATGCTTTAAGGACGAGACGGGGGGAGACACCTCAAAAGCGGCACTGGAACCCTTGGCAGCGACAAAGGGGTTTTCTGCAACTTGCGCTTCTTTCTTGTCATCTTCTGCTACACATTTCTCACCGCCTGCATCTCCTACGGTGACTTCGGGTGGCAGCGAGACATCCGGGTCCTTCGTTGTGACCAAAACCTTTTCAGCATGGGCGCCGTTCACCACAGCGTTGCCTGGCTTGAGACGGGAGAATTTGGAGATGAGCTCGGTGCTTCCTACTGCCTTGGTGACGCTGTCCAGTGTGGTCCTGATCCGCGACATGCGTCTGCTAGCTCACTGAGATCAAGAGTGGAGAGGACAGGGGTTAAAAATTCCCATCCAGCAAAATACAGCCCAAAAATTGAAACTCTGCAGTACTTAGTAATAGAAATTCTTGTTGTAATACAAGAAATGCCAATAGGGGGCTCTGCCACGTTTGTAATTATCTTGGTAGTCATGGAAACAGGCCAAGCAAACGAAAGCCGTCGGTTGCTTTCTTTGACGACAGACTAAACCTGTCAATATGGATGATCAGCGTACTCCATCTCGCCTTAATTTACCCGCCGAGTCGAGTGAACTTGTAAAAATCCTGCGCGAGAGGGAGCGTGGCCCACCCGAAGACCACATCAAGTGGGTCGCAGCCCAAGACTTTACCGTGGAAGTTGGCAAAGAGCAGATTGCCGAGTATATTCGGACATGGGAGCTGAAACCCCTCTGGATTTACAGTCTGGACTGCCTCTGCTCGACAGAAGACGAACATCAAACCTACTACCATTACCGGGCTCGCTTCAGCAGTCCGAACGCGCAGAGGCCCATTCAGGGGACGGCGAGCGTCTATTTCGCCGTTCAAGTATCGAAAGTTGGACCACAAACTGAGCCTGTCGATGTCCACTTTGTGGTGGAGTCTCATAGGTTGGTACACACGCCGGGCAGGACCCGCTTCACTGACAAATGGCTCGTTGACATTATTGAGACGAAGGCTGCGCTAAGAGAAGCGATTAAATTTTGACAATACTGAATGTCGGTTTTGGAACCAGAAAAAAAACACAAGAGTGTCATCATGTCAACTCTGGACACTGAATGGAAACGCACAGTTAAACTGTCAAAAGACGGTTAAACCGCATTGGCAAACGGTTCCAAAATTACACACACAAGAGAGCAAAAACTTGGCAATTACCTGATAGAATAACAAACGAAAATCATTCATTCGGTGCCGCACTGCTAGCACCGTTAGCGCTTGAACTCGAAAACAGGAAAAGGACAGGAAATTACGTAAAAGACGGAGCTTCCTTTGTTCCAAAAATAACGAAATTATTTAAAAAATAGTGTGCGTATGTGCGGGGCAGCATGAATTTAAATCGCATTCACAAAAGAAAAAAATATTTGCATGTTCGGATATGGTTTATGCTACAGCGTAATATTTGCACAAAACATATAGATTCGATAGACATAAAAACATTCGAATATAAATGTGGTTTAACCGACACGATATTCATTTCAAGCTGTTGTTCTTCTTTGTTTTCTTATTGTTTTGATGACATATTTCTGTGTAATCTCGCAATGCGCATCGCTAGACTAATGGAAGAAGCCGAAAGAACAGATACGTAACAACAGGTTGATTTACCTTAATGATAGAATCAACCTAATGTTCAGACCGAAACGTCACGTGCTGACCCTTTAAAAAAAAACTAAATCATTATGTCATCGACAACGAGTATATTAAAACTTTTAATACTTTTCCACCATGCAAATGAGTCATTCGCCGTTGTTGTTGAGTGACTTAAAAAAATAAAAACATGCTTTGGGTGGCTGCCAAAGACTTCACAGTGGAAGTTGGCAAAGAGCAGATTATGCAGTTTATCCAAACATGGCAACTGAATCCAAGATGGATATACAGCCTGGACTTTCTCTACTGGACCGAAGAGGAGGACCTGACGTCGTACCATTACCTGGCGAACTTCAGCACCCCGTCACCGCAGATGCCCATCCCCACTGCTGCTGGCGTTTACTTCGTGATGGACGTTTCCAGAGTTGGACCGCAAACGGAGCCTATCGATGTGCACTATGTCGTGGAGTCCAACAGGCTAAAGCACACACCTGGGGAGACTGAATTCACAGAAAAGTGGCTGTTGGACATTATAGAAAGCAAGATTGCGTTGAGTCAAGCAATGCGCAACTTGTGTTGATGAATCCAGTTGTTCATAGCAATCGAATTAGTCACAGAAAGTTATAACCTCTCTGAAAACCAATGATGGTAAAACTCATGAACAGCATCTGTGCAAAGGTACCTAATCAAGTGTCTGCGTAGTGTACAAATCCTCTCAACTCTGCTGACTGAGCTCCAGTGTATTGTCATCGTTTCCCAAAACATACGCGACCGACTTTCATTATTATTCAAACAAATGTTGCAATTCAAGTCTGATTGAAGAACCAAAAGTTTTAGAAAATAACCAGTTTTATACTGAAATTCATACAGTTTAATGTCTAATTCAACTATCGAATGAAAGCAAAACGCAGATTAACAATCCAAGTTACAGTATAAATCTTGGAATATATAATACCGACCGCCTGTAAAATGACACGTCTATTCTGTAAAACGAAACCGGAAGTACTCGAAAACATACTCCTGATTAATTTAGCTTGAAGCTACGTGGACATCTTCCACCAATCAGAAGGCTTTGAGTTAATACGTCTGCGAAATGGTCCAATAGCGTTTCGACTCGTGGTGTTCGGCCTCTGGAATGCATTTCGTCAACAAACGTTAGCTTGCGGTTTCGTATCAGCTGGAGCTGTCAGCTTTCGGCAGCGTTCCCGGCCTCTTCGGTGACCCAGGTAATCAACATTTAATCATATTGATTCTGTTTGTTAACTACAGTTTAAAGAGCTTGATGTGGGATTTCGGAAAGTGAGACGTCCTTTTCATTTAAAAGGGCGAGTTGTCATTTTCTTGTGCCTGTCAAAGGTTTCGATTCGGTGACGTTTTAAAAGTACCTCGAAACAGTCGGCCGTGACTCTTCTTGATTAGTGCTTTATTAGGCACACCGTTTGCACGCTTTCTAAATGTAAAGTATAACGTGCTATTAACAAAGTTGTCAACGTCCGCAAAAGGTGCCCAACAAAAAGGAGCCCCAAGGCAGTCATGGCCACGGTGCAGTGCATGTTGCTGCTCGCCTTTCACATCTTGCTCATCTCCGAGTTCATATTGGCCAAGAAGGACTACTACGACATCCTAGGGGTGCCCAGAGATGCCTCGGAGCGCCAGATCAAGAAGGCCTTCCATAAGCTGGCTCTCAAGTACCACCCGGACCGAAACAAGGGCTCGGATGCCGAGGCCAGGTTCAGAGATATAGCTGAGGGTAAGTAACTCTTTGCATTCCGAGGAGCAGGAATGTTGTAGTCCCTCTGAAAAATTGTGCGTCACAATTCGGCAAAATTCACAACGGCTCTCATACACTGATAAAAGATTGACTTGATTGTTTGATTTAACAGAGACGCGGATAATCCTGTACAAGCTATTGAAAAGTAAAATTCCCCTTTGCCTTACCTCAGCATACGAGACGTTATCGGACGACAAGAGACGTCGGGAGTACGACCAGTTCGGCCATGGCGCGGGGCCGCACGGTGGCAGCGGAGGAGCAAGTGGCAACTTCAACTTCCGGCAGCACTACCGGTCGTTCAACGTTGACGACATCTTCAAGGACTTTGACTTTTTCGGCGGGCACCAACACTTCCACTCCCATCATCAAGCCCACAAGAAGAGGTTCTTCCACCAGGCAGCTGGAAACCAAAAGCGAGGGCCCTTCGGAGGAAGAGAGGGAGAAGGCGGACTGTTTGATGACATGTTTGAGGACTTGGAGAAGATGTTCTCCTTTAACGCGCACACTACCAGAAGTGACAGCAGATTCCAGCACTCAGCCAAGCAGCACTGCAGGACAGTGACGCAGAGGAGGGGCAACATGGTGACCACCTTCACCGACTGCTCCTGAGTGGGGAAACAGACACACAAGGCTCTGCCGGATTTAGTTTGGAAATTGAATGCTAATTTATAGCGTGGCTTTTGGTGAGATTTACATTCAAGGAACAAAGTTGGTTTCCAGTCACTTCCAATTAGGTCAGCTTCTTTACTTGCTCAGGAATCGACATAAGCTCGTGGATTCTTTGCTTCAACAAGCTGCACTGGGGTGTTATTCTTTGTGAACAAGCCGGGACTGAATAAGACACACATTTGAATTAAAAAAAAAAAAAACAAGCACTATTATATTTTGCTGGAGATGTTTTTCGATATTTTCTTGTTAAAAACAAAAACCTCAAGTTGATCATGTGCAATACTCAGCACTTTTTGCTCTTCATGTTCCCTGTTTTGCATAGACAGTGCTGTTTCAATAATCATTGTCTAAATGTCTGCACTTTGTGTGTGTGTGTGTGTGTGTGTGTGTGAATTGATTGGACAATGTTTGAACACGGAATAAAAAAGTTGCAATAGGACATGTTACTCTTCATCTGTGTGCGCAATTATTTATTTTTTTGGACAGTAAACTTGCAAGTAAGTGGCACTACAACACAAACGTCCCTAACGTCAACAACCGCTGACCACACGTGGCACCCTGTTGTTAATGAAGGACTAAAATAATGATAGAATAAATAATTATAATAAAAGTTCAAATAAATTTGGAATTCATAGCTCTAGGGTGGGAGAAGGGTGCTTAACCCTTGAATGGGAAAGCGTTCAACAAATCTGCAGTTTTGCATTAGTTTCGCTAGAGGGCGCTATGTACATTTAAAAATCGCTTTTCTCATTCAGCCAATCATCGCGCGGCAACAAACGTGATCCCGTTCCCGACCCCTTGTCCAATCAGCGGCCTTGACGGAGGAGCACCCTTCTGTTGACTCGGGAAGGTGACTCCTCGGCCTGATTTTGGTTTATTTGTCATTTTAAACCGCATATGCTGGAAAATAGCTATTATTTACAGTCATGTCTTCTTTTGGGAGGATGTTGGGCGTCCTCCGGGGTGGAACTCGGCTTATTAGACGTGGTCCACAAAGGATAATGACGAGAAAGTGAGTACGTCTCTAGCCTCTGATGCTAGCATGCTAACGAGTCGTTCCCAACAATGGAGTTGTTGACGGGCTCACCTGTGTGTGTGTGTTGATATTGTAGGGCAGGCGGCGGGCCTCACATCGAGCCGCAGTACAGGCAATTTCCTCAACTCACCAGGAACCAGAAGTTCCAGTCGGAGTTGATCAGCGGTGCCATGTGGTTCTGGATCCTCTGGCACTTGTGGCACGACCCGGATGCGGTCCTGGTAAACGAGAAAAGCATCATCACATTGGTGCAATCTCCTCCTGTGGCCCCAGGGACTGTGACGAGTGTGTTGTTCTGCTTCAGGGTCATTTTCCTTGGCCTGATGCTTCAGAGTGGACAGATGAGGAGCTTGGAATTCCAGCGGACGACGAAGAATAAGGTGATTTTGCACCTATTCAAAATTTGTGTTAATATTCATTGCGCTTACCTTGTTGTTCTTTGCAGTTCATCCAGAGTGACACCACCTCACAACTGTTCCCCAGAAGTTGTCATTGTACATACAATAAATCTTCTAACATTCTGTCATGCGTCATCAATAATGAGCCTTTCCACTTAGTTTTGCTCGTTTTATTTACACGCAATTGTTTGAAATGCAGAAACAGTGTGTCAGCTTGCCAGTGTTTGAATCTCATTTGTTGTTCAGAACGTAAGCAATTGGGGACCCATCACACTTTGAACACAAATGCCAAAAGTGAAGGGAAAGAAAAAAAAGGGACTGCGGCGGATTTAACAAACCTACAGGAAGGAAAGCGACAGCGGCGGCTACGTGAACAATTACAAGCATGTGTGCTGAAAGTCACTCGCGGGTTGTGTGCACGTCAACCTGAGCAGAGCTTAAAGCTACTTGTTTTGGGATGACTCAATAACACTGAGCAATGCGTTTTGAAAGAATCAACAGCAGGGAAACGAAAACAAACATGAAAACGTGAGAGCATCCGCATTTGTGAGGTGGCTGGTGCTTTTGATTCTGTTCATGGCATCATTCCCTGAGTCAACAACTGTGAAAATCAGCACTATTTTAAGCTCCTCACAACCTCTCGGCACCACAGTGGCTCAGAATACTAAGTGGCACGAGTGGATTGATGATTAAAAACAGACCCGTTCTAGTCGCACATGGCCCAGGACAACAAAAAAAAAACCCACACTGGCTACGGGGAGAATAAGAATTGATAATTAGTAAATCAGCTGCTACACAACAAGATGACGAGCACAACAACGCAAACACACCACATTTACAGAAAAACAAAGATTAAGAACCTCCAAAATATAATAAAATTGTATCTCTTCATTAATAAATACATCCCCAAAAAATCAGACAAAAGGAGAAATAAATTAAGCAGAATATCCATGAGCTTTTTCTTTGTGAAAGATTCCTATTCAAACCAACAAGGGGCAGCGATAAGCTTGTATCAAAAGCAAGGAAGAAGTGGAAAGGGGAAAAAAGCTGCCGCCCTTAAGAGTTTTTTTTTTTATTGCTGGTGAGACTTACAAAGCATGAGCACCATTTGTGAAATCTGCCACCCCGAAAAAAAAAAATGAAATAATCACAACCTGGCGTCAAAAGTTGTTTGGTAAACCTCATTGTCCTCATCCTCCATTTTAATGCCCGCAGTCGCTCCCTTCCTCCTCAGTTTCCTTTCGTTAGTGTGCTTGTCGTGAAGTGGTGCATGACCCTTTGTCGTATGTCCTCTTCACTTCGTCTCACTTGTAAAAAGCACAAAAGTGTCCAAATAGCTCATAAAAAAAAGTGTCTTTTTTTTTTTGTTTTGTTTTTTCCTTAGACAAAAACACGACTGTGTCTGTTGATTTTCAAAATCTTGCCGAGTCTCTGCTTGGCGGTGGCCATGCCTTTTTTGGGACGTTTGCCTGAAAACAAAGAAGAATGAAAACAAAGAACATCTATGCGTACATGTATCAGATGAATTGTTTGTCACACCTTTTGTGGCTTGATTGCTGACGGGCGGGGGGTTGGAGGCGTGCCTCTTGGAGGGGTGCAGGGGCGGCGACATGTTGGGGTCACAGTACTGGTAATGGTGCTCTGGGCTGGGCAGGCCCTGATTGTCCCAGGCCTCTCTGCTGTTGCCTTGGCTGTCCATGGGGCTGGCGACTCCCTGCTGGTGGGGCGCCGGGCCCCGCTGCCCCGCCGGGCCGGAGGACCACCACGGTTCCTGGGGCGAGGCTGCCTTCTCCGGCTTGGCGGGGCACAGCAGGCCAGCCATGGACAACATCCCCTGAATGGCTTCTTCCGTGCTGGGTGAGGTAGGACGTTCTCTGAGGGGGCAGCCAGAAAACAGTGTCATTTACCTGCAGTGCCACCTAAATATGGTCGTCCGTCCTGTGAGGGCTAATTACCGTTTGAGTGGTTTCTGGCGAGATTGGTCCAGCTCGATGGTGTGTCCTTTTTGCCTTTGCTCCTCTTCCTCAGAGTCCTCGTCGGAAGAGGACGACAGCGGCGACACTTTGAGCTACAGACACAGAAATTTACTGACCATTCGCTCTTTAGTCCTTTTCGAGCAAAAGGAATTAGCTGGCAAATGTCCTTCTATGACCACCATACTTTCTGACCCAATTAGATATGTCCATACCTGCGTGGGGGCATCGCTGTCCGAATCTACATCCGATGCACACGTGTCTCCCGACACTTCTTCCCTGAGTTCGGTTTTCACTCTCTCCACATCTGCTATGCAGAAAAAAAAAGTGTCAAGACACAAAATGATTGACATAAATCAGTATCATTGTAGCTCACCAATAATTTTGTGGGCGTCGGCGTGTAGCCCCCGATTGATCCGGTCTGACTTGATGTCGGTGCTTTTGTTGGCGCCGGCGGTGACGTGCCTCTCGGACTCCGTTTTGACCGGGAAAGCCGCGGGCCGCCTCATATCCCTGATAGGTGAATAGCAATCGAGATCATGACCAAGAAATGGAATAAAAGGTGCTACTCATCTTTTAAAACCATAACAATAACTAATCAAGTCCAACATATTTACCTCTAATGGAGGAAAGCATATGAAAGTATTCTGACCGTATGATCCTGCCGTTGACCAGCATGAGTCTGAGGTGGTTCTCCTCCAAGGATTCTGCGGCAGCGGCGGCCGAGGCCGTCGACGCCTTGTTGAGCTTCCCCCGCACCTTGGCGCAGAACGCCGGATCCTGCCAACAGCAGATAACAGGTCAGAGCCGCCCAAAGGCATCGTGGGACAAGAAAGACCAAATTCCCTCACCTCCTCCAGGGGGCCCACCTCCAGCCTCCTCAGCACCTCCCTGGTGTGTCTCTCCAGGATGTCCAGGTTGGACGACGTCCGGGGCGTCTGCCGCTGCTGTTGCTGCTCCCGCAGGCGGCGGGCGGCCCGCCTCGCTTGCCGCGCTTGGCACAGACGCTCCAGGGTGGCACGAGTGGACGGGCACCCGTTGGATCCTCCGCCGCCCCCGCAGATGCTTCCCTGAGATTTGAGCGGCTTGACGCCAACGCCCCCTCCTCCGTTACTCGGTTCCTCCTGTGGAGCAAGACGTACTTCTGAGTTAAGCCACAATAATATTGGCCACTCTTTGCAGAGGATAAAGAATATGCCTGATGGCATTGTTATAGTCTTGTCTTGAACCTGACCTCCAGGTGTCGTATTTCCTTGGTGAGCTCTTTGATGAGATGATTTGGCCTGATGTTGTCGGGGACCTCGCTGTTGGGCTGAGTCACCTGGACAAGACGTCAAGGCAAGAAATGCTGAAAAAAAGTTGTGTGTGGGCTACGGAGGAACACGGTGGCGAGAACTAACCTCTCTCTTCAACCATGTCTTGAGTGCACAGATTAAAGCCTTCACGCCCTCCGTGAGATACGTCGGAGGTGGACAGGTGTCTTCTCGGAGTTCTGATGGTGGACCACAATAAAAATTGCTTTCACTGTTTCAACTGCTTTTGCGAAATCAAATATCATTTTTACAAATCGCCAAATTCACCTTTGAGAGTTTCCAGAAGATTCTTGCCCACATACCAACAGATGGCCTCAAAGTAAGGGAACTTGAAGAGGTCCGGCGTTTTCAGACGGCGCTCCATTTCGTAACACCTGACCAACAAAGCAAATCGTCACTCAGTCATCACGAATCAAAGCCACTGTTAAAAAGTGGCGCGTTCTTACCTGAGCTGCATGCCAATGTTGAGGTTGTGCAGGAAGTTGCCGCCGAACGCCATGCAATCCTGAGAGGTGAGGACAGCGTGGATCCAGCCTGCAGGGGGCGCCGCAGCATTAGGATGACAACTACGATGTGAACCAGTGCCAGCCTGCTCAGGGCATTATCTAATCCAAACAATCCGCACTCTGTACAACTATTATCTTCACGCACACGCAAATGGAGATAAACAGCTTTTCCTTGAACAACTCTACGTGAGAGAAAGCAGATTTGAGTGGGGGGTTGGGTGTGTGGGTGTGACAGCCTGACCCGCTGACCTTCCGCTCCCACTTAATTCCAACCTCGGACAATTTAGCAGTTGGCGCCACTGACACTTTGATTGACACCTTTGGCCAAATACGAATACTTGGTTGCTCTCTACTTCCATAAATTTCTCATGTATCTGAAGCCTACTTAATAAAACAATTTTTTTACTTCCTACATTGGAAAAGTGACATCTACTCCTTTCTGTGTCAAAATAGGTTTGCTCATTTTTGTAACGTTCGCGGATGACGATGACATAACATTAAAAAAAAAAAAAAAAAAGTATCAATTCTTCTGAAGTACAAGTAGAGTTTCCAAACATTTGTACCTGTTGGGATGAGCAGCGTGGTTCCCTGAGGCACCACGCACTTGTAACACTTGTCCACTTTGTCCCCGAAAAAGACCTCGCTCTGATTGGGCGAGGAGCTCCAGGCCTCGTAGAGCGCCAGGTTGGCAGGCGTGGGCCTGATCAGGTAGAAGACCTTCTCGCCCTGACGGAGACCACAACACCACAACGTTCATTTCCTCTTCTCGAGCGGGCCGACGTGTCCAAATACGTCCCTGTGTCCCACTCACCCAGAGGACGTGGTACCACACGGAGGTGCCGCCAAAGTCGATGTGGAAGTCGGTGTAGCTGTCCTTGACGCCCATCAGGCAGTACTTCTGCACGAAGGGCTTGGGGAAGAACGAGTCGTCCGGCCAGTAGTTCTCCACCCAGGACATCTTTTGAGCAACGTCGGGCACCTCCACCAGCTTGGACATCCTCCAGAGAGACAAAAACATTTGAATTGGCACGACTGAGCAACGACGATCCGTTTGGGAAGCGGAACTCACTTGGTGTCGGAGAACTCCAGGCTGATGAGGTTGAGCACTTTGGGGCGATGTGGGCCGGTGAAATACTTGATGAACTGGCTGAGTTTCATCTTGGTGTCGGCTTGCCGCGCGACGTCGATCACGTCGATCACTTTGTCGCCGCCTGCGGTCAATGCAAGGCATTACGCCGTCATTGAGAGGCAGACTAGACGCTACGAAGACACTGATTTGCCTCCAAGGTATGACAGACTCTCCAGTGTGACCATCAAACATGTCCAGCGAGTCCCAAAGGAAGGAGCGGGAGGAACGACATGCACGGAGCGGCATGTGGCGGCCATCTTTTTACACTGCCGAGGCTAAACAAACGCTAGCAAAAGATGGAGGCTAACATCTGTGATGCTACAAATCACACCAGGGCGACACATAGGGTTCTGCAGCTGCTTCTTCAACTTTCCCTGAGAACACACACCTTTTAATGCCCTGCCAGACAGACAGACCCACGCTCGCGCGCACACACATACACACACACAAACACAGACACACAAATACGCACACGTGCAGCCCAGCTGGCCTGCATCTGATGACAGACAGCAGCTGGAATGCCAAAAAGACAAGTGTCAGACAAGCGCCTCACTGGAAAGTTCTTCGAAGACTTAGTCTACATCTACACAGATCTTTCAAAACATAATAAATTCGAGGCTATAGTGTAATGTTTCACCCGCAATAAGTGAAATTTACACACGTTGAGAAATACAGTGAGAGTAACAGCAATCGATGACATGAAAATATTGTAAAAACAGTAACAGTGTCGTGGTCACTTTGTGTTTTTTTTTCCAAACTAATAAACTTCTCACAATATACACCATTTTAAACTAAACCTAAGGCTGTCATTTTCTGTAGGTGTAAAAAGCAGGATTTCAGAATTATTGTTGTTGTTGTTCTTTCAAATTTCAAAGACAACCTGCGAAATAGCGAGACCATAAACCTGGAAGTCACAATAGAGGCGGTTTCGTGGATGGGCAAGTTGTGGGACATGAGTGCTTCAAGATATGTAACGCGACACCCGGGTGTCTGCCGCTAACACCTGTGCTTCGCGTTCCCAAGTCAGTGGAGTGTGGGGGGGTTTACAAGCAGTAATGTGAACTTAATGATCCACACCACACAACAGGGCAGGGCAAGCTAACACACTTGGAAGAGGAGTCAGCAAGCTGCAGGCGAAAACAGAGGCCGCACATCTAATCAGCTACGGGCCCGGAAATGCGTTACCGACACGCAGGTGGCCACTTAGCCACTTAGCCGGCCGGCCGTGATTTTCTTCCCGTAACCGCAAAGGCTATTCGACAGCATCTTACCCACGTACTGCTCCACGTCTCTCACGCCGAAGGTGGGCGGGGGCAGCTTGAGGCCCAGGCCTTCCATCTCGGTGACGGCGATGGGGTGGCGGAAGCCCGAGCGCTCCAGGTACTTGGGCGTCACCTGCACGCCGCGCATGCGCATCACCACCTCCTCGCAGCTGCCAGCGGTGCAGCGACACAGACAAAGGCAAATGTCAACATTTGGACAATTTGTTTTTTTTTTTAACACCCTCAACTTGGAGTTGAAAGCTTTCGGGTTTCATTTCAAATTTCCGATATCATCTATTGGGCCGTGCTAGCTGCGACAAGGTTGTTTTCTTTCACAATCAGTCATTTACAGCAATGTGAATGAAGCCTGCGACTGGACGCGTACCTGGAGAAGGTCCTGCTCTGCAGCTCCTTGACAAACACGGGGGTGCCGGCTTGCACGGGCTTGGCTCCATCGTCGGGCTCCGTGTAATCGTGGCGGTGCCAGTTGTTTCGCCTTTTCACTGGGAAGCCCCCGAACCCAAAGAGACGTTGAAGCCAAGATACTTTTTTTTTTTGAATAACGACGACAAGCGGCATCACTCACTCAGGGAGGGTCCGTGTAGGACGTCACAGTTCGGACAGTGGTAAACGTCAATATCAACAGCATGGTGCTCCTCCACGTGGACACAACTGCAAACAAAACAGAATTAATTCACAAATATGAGAGAGGACATATGAGTTCCCTCATCAATAGGAAGCATCGAATGTGTTTCCAGGACTCTTTTTTTTTTTTTGCAGCCGGATTACACCGGGAGGCAAGATGTCCCCACTTGACCTAAAATGGCTTCCATCTTACGAGTTCAAAATAGCTGCTTGCTCCCGCTTGCCTCCCTTCGCCGAGTGATTCGGCCTCCAGGCATTTTGTGATCAACACAAAATAAGATTAAGAGCGCGGCAGTCACTCTGTGCCAGTATGAGCTGGTCCGAGCTGCGTGGTGGCGCAAGATGGGAGGAAGGCTGTGCCTGCTATCAGCTTTGATCTACTTGCGGGAAAGTGTAAAAAGAAAATCCAAAGTGCGGGGAGGGCCATTAAGTGCTCAGGAAGCGCAGGGCTACTGTGAATTCTTGACATTTGCCATGCACGCGGGCATGAAGACGTGTCCTGAAATGACTCGCGCGTCAGCGTGCGCTGAGGATGGGCGTGTTTGGAGGCCAGATGTGCCGGCTCCTCCCCGCCCACCCGAGCGAGCGAGCGCGTGACTTGGAAAGACACGTTAGCGGCGCTTGGCTGCAGGATCAGGCTCATGTTTCCACCATGTGCTCATGCGCATCACCACCTCCTCGCAGCTGCCAGCGGTGCAGCGACACAGACAAAGGCAAATGTCAACATTTGGACAATTTGTTTTTTTTTTTAACACCCTCAACTTGGAGTTGAAAGCTTTCGGGTTTCATTTCAAATTTCCGATATCATCTATTGGGCCGTGCTAGCTGCGACAAGGTTGTTTTCTTTCACAATCAGTCATTTACAGCAATGTGAATGAAGCCTGCGACTGGACGCGTACCTGGAGAAGGTCCTGCTCTGCAGCTCCTTGACAAACACGGGGGTGCCGGCTTGCACGGGCTTGGCTCCATCGTCGGGCTCCGTGTAATCGTGGCGGTGCCAGTTGTTTCGCCTTTTCACTGGGAAGCCCCCGAACCCAAAGAGACGTTGAAGCCAAGATACTTTTTTTTTTTGAATAACGACGACAAGCGGCATCACTCACTCAGGGAGGGTCCGTGTAGGACGTCACAGTTCGGACAGTGGTAAACGTCAATATCAACAGCATGGTGCTCCTCCACGTGGACACAACTGCAAACAAAACAGAATTAATTCACAAATATGAGAGAGGACATATGAGTTCCCTCATCAATAGGAAGCATCGAATGTGTTTCCAGGACTCTTTTTTTTTTTTGCAGCCGGATTACACCGGGAGGCAAGATGTCCCCACTTGACCTAAAATGGCTTCCATCTTACGAGTTCAAAATAGCTGCTTGCTCCCGCTTGCCTCCCTTCGCCGAGTGATTCGGCCTCCAGGCATTTTGTGATCAACACAAAATAAGATTAAGAGCGCGGCAGTCACTCTGTGCCAGTATGAGCTGGTCCGAGCTGCGTGGTGGCGCAAGATGGGAGGAAGGCTGTGCCTGCTATCAGCTTTGATCTACTTGCGGGAAAGTGTAAAAAGAAAATCCAAAGTGCGGGGAGGGCCATTAAGTGCTCAGGAAGCGCAGGGCTACTGTGAATTCTTGACATTTGCCATGCACGCGGGCATGAAGACGTGTCCTGAAATGACTCGCGCGTCAGCGTGCGCTGAGGATGGGCGTGTTTGGAGGCCAGATGTGCCGGCTCCTCCCCGCCCACCCGAGCGAGCGAGCGCGTGACTTGGAAAGACACGTTAGCGGCGCTTGGCTGCAGCATCAGGCTCATGTTTCCACCATGTGCTCGCTTGCAGGAAAGCATGACTCCCTCTCACACAAGACGCACTGTGAGTGCGCCAAGCGAGCGACCTCGACTGACTTTTCCGCCATGGCGGGAAAAAGGAAGAGGATGCCTTCTGAGCGCCACCCACACCGGGAGAGAAAATTGGGCTCGGGAAGTGAGGGGGCGCAAGCATTTCCTGCCTCCCACGAGACGATGACGACGTGTTGCATCGCCCGTCATCTAACAGGACACATGACAACATTAAATGACTGTGTTACAAGGTTACAAAATCCGTATTGTAATGTAACTATGATATATATCTAAATATTATTTAAAAAGACAAATATGCGCATCAACAAATCATTTAAGTGCCGTCTGGACCAAATATAAATTGGATAAAAATGTATTTTGGAATCCACACTGTGGTATCTATGCCCCGCCCCCCAAAACTATGGATCTGTTTCAATGATCAAACGAATCAGATGAACGTGTTTCGTGATTGTTGTGCTTCGGCGGAGGTCTGCCTAAGCGAGCGGCGTGGTAAACGTCAATATCAACAGCATGGTGCTCCTCCACGTGGACACAACTGCAAACAAAACAGAATTAATTCACAAATATGAGAGAGGACATATGAGTTCCCTCATCAATAGGAAGCATCGAATGTGTTTCCAGGACTCTTTTTTTTTTTTTGCAGCCGGATTACACCGGGAGGCAAGATGTCCCCACTTGACCTAAAATGGCTTCCATCTTACGAGTTCAAAATAGCTGCTTGCTCCCGCTTGCCTCCCTTCGCCGAGTGATTCGGCCTCCAGGCATTTTGTGATCAACACAAAATAAGATTAAGAGCGCGGCAGTCACTCTGTGCCAGTATGAGCTGGTCCGAGCTGCGTGGTGGCGCAAGATGGGAGGAAGGCTGTGCCTGCTATCAGCTTTGATCTACTTGCGGGAAAGTGTAAAAAGAAAATCCAAAGTGCGGGGAGGGCCATTAAGTGCTCAGGAAGCGCAGGGCTACTGTGAATTCTTGACATTTGCCATGCACGCGGGCATGAAGACGTGTCCTGAAATGACTCGCGCGTCAGCGTGCGCTGAGGATGGGCGTGTTTGGAGGCCAGATGTGCCGGCTCCTCCCCGCCCACCCGAGCGAGCGAGCGCGTGACTTGGAAAGACACGTTCGCGGCGCTTGGCTGCAGCATCAGGCTCATGTTTCCACCATGTGCTCGCTTGCAGGAAAGCATGACTCCCTCTCACACAACACGCACTGTGAGTGCGCCAGCGAGCGACCTCGACTGACTTTTCCGCCACGGCGGGAAAAAGGAAGAGGATGCCTTCTGAGCGCCACCCACACCGGGAGAGAAAATTGGGCTCGGGAAGTGAGGGGGCGCAAGCATTTCCTGCCTCCCACGAGACGATGACGACGTGTTGCATCGCCCGTCATGGGCGGCGTCATCTAACAGGACACATGACAACATTAAATGACTGTGTTACAAGGTTACAAAATCCGTATTGTAATGGAACTATGATATATATATCTAAATATTATTTAAAAAGACAAATATGCGCATCAACAAATCATTTAAGTGCCGTCTGGACCAAATATAAATTGGATAAAAATGTATTTTGCAATCCACACTGTGGTATCTATGCCCCGCCCCCAAAACTATGGATCTGTTTCAATGATCAAACGAATCAGATGAACGTGTTTCGTGATTGTTGTGCTTCGGCGGAGGTCTGCCTAAGCGAGCGGAGATGAGCGCTCGGCTTGGACTGCATCCACTTCCCGTCATCAGGGGCCCTCCTCCTTCCTGTGTGGCGTATTCATTAGCCGGCGCTGTGAGAAGGCTTCATTGTCCGCGGCGGCGCACAAAAGGCCGGAGGCGGGCACGGCTATTATTTTAAGCTCGAAACAAGCATGCCGCACGGGGGAGGCGCTTACGCCCACATTAGGGGGACCCGGACGAGGTTCACTGGGCTGGCTTCATCTGACCCCCAGGCGCGGGCTCGTGCGGTCTCCCGCCCCCGTTAATGAATGTAAACACAGCTTTTTAACAGCAGCTACCTGGACGATCCCCAGTGGCTCAACATCCGCTTATTTAGCGTCAACACCAAAAATCTTTGCCGTGCAGGCCATCCATCTTCCTTTGGTGCGGCCTTTTTGAATAGGACAGCAAAGTGGAAAAAGCACGTCGATGACCATCACCAAGGTATCACGTCCATGTAAGCCAATGCTATATAGCCACAGCTTTTTAGATTGTAAACATGCCGGCAAGTGGTCCAGAATAGATGCAGCTGCTGGTGCACTTTCAATCGCTTAAACAAAGGGGAAGAAAAACGCGTCAGAAAAAACACCTTCATACACTAGCTGATGATGGCATCAACTCACATCGTCACTCAACGCGCACAAGTGCCAGACAACTCTGCACTCGGTTGTTGACACCCACGTCATTCACCAGCTTTCAAAGCTAAAAACACTCCACTCACAAATACTACAGTAGAACTTGAGGACGGCGACCCCACATGGATAAAAACCATAGCTGCACCTCGCCTGCGTATTATCTTATCTAATAACGCACTATTACTTTTTTAAAAATCTGATTTGTTATGCTCCAACTGTGTGCACTCTTCACAGATTGGGGAAAAAAAAGTCCCGCCTGCGTAGCAGTCTCGAAACACAAGCGGTTTTCAGATGGGAGACGGGAGAGTATCCCACATTTCTTTTGGGTTTCTTCCTCAGGGGAAAAGGCTTCAAATGTCAAATTTTGCTGCTTCTGTCCAGGTCGGATGCTCCTTTTGTCGTGTTGGCACGCCCTCGCAGATTCTGCGGCCTCGATTTCTTTTGGCAGCGCACTTCATGCCATTACACAATCACTTCCGTCATTTCAAAGAAAGTGCTTTGTTGTTTTCCCAAAGTGTTGCTATGGTGATGCGCGCCCTCCCCCAGCCCCCACCAAAACACAGCAAGCCAGTGGGCACAATATCAGATCCTGACGACGACATGTGATGCAATTTTTTGGGCCACACAGCCACAGTAAGTGACCTCGACGGTGAGGACAAGCTTTACAGGCTTGCGCCACTGAACTTGGATCAGTGACACACATACGCGATAAAGTTGTGTAACAATGACTCACGGGCAGCACTGATAACATCACTAGCACTGTTTAACATGACGCGTGGAAGCAGAAGTTGCTGAGAAATGGCTGGCAAAAGGCTGTCTAAAACACCGGTTATTGCTAAATCATGTCATAAAGGGGAATCGGAGATGTCAAATTTTAGCTTGAGCATGATTGGTGATTTTTGGCATTCATGTAACTTGCCTCACGAACATCCAAACTTTGTGATTTATAATTTTTTTTGAGCTTCAAATACACGGCGGCTCGATTGGACAAACGGTCCAAAACGCAAATGCAAAATGAAAACACTTGCAAGGAGCACGGAGGAAACTCTACAAAAACGCAAATTTACTTCACTGTATGAGTGACTTTCGACTGAATTAAACTTTTACCAGCTTACTTTTTTATATTTTGCATTTTAACATGAATATTTGTGGTTTTATTCATTAAAAGCACGAGGACGAACAAAGTATTGCTACGTCGCACTGTTGTCAGTATTCACACAAATGTAACAAGTTCCCCAAATATGCTGACTTGAGGGGGGGTCTTCTCATAAGCAGTTCCAAATTCGGCCTCTAGGGGCCCCCTCGGCCATGTGCCTCAAAAAGGGATTTAAATTTCTCAAGCTGTCAATCAAAAGCGCCACCATAATAACAAGGTCCTTGTTCTCGAATGTCGCCTTTCAAGTCAAAGGGGGGACTCGAAACGCAACGTCACGAGGACGATAGTTCCCAAAAACGTGTCACATTTTTTGTTCAAAACAAGAATACGATGGAGCCACGTTTAACAATGGAGGAAGTTGTTCGAGGAGCGTGCCGATGTAAATGCATTTAAAAGTACGCCGACATCACCTCGAATATCCCGATTCAGACGGCGAAGCGTTTACATAAAATAAACAGAAAAAAAGAGAACAAGAATAGATCGTTTTTTAAACCAAACACGTCGCGTTGACTGACAACACATAGACAACACATAAGACGACCCACGAATTGGGAGAATAAAACTACTTGCGTCAAACCTCTCCTTTGTCTTTCACATTAACTAAAGGCGGAATTTTAGACACGACATAATGTCGTTTCGCGTGTAGCCCAATCCGACAGCAAACAATGCGGTTTCAAGGAAAAACGAGCCCACTTTGTAAGATCAACTCGCGTCAATAGACCATTTAAAGCCCCCGAAAGCTAAGCTAACTTAGCTACCGGTCCGACACTTAAGAGAACCGTCGCCTTTCCCGAACAAACTCGGGGTGTGTGTCCCCTCAAAAGGGAGCTGGGTCGAGGGAGGACACCTTAGCCCACATACCTGCCGTGGAACCAGTCCTTGCAGATGTCGCACTCGATCATAAACCGGCTCACGTCGTAGGGCTGCCGGCAGACACAGTACAGCGGGGTGGCCGCCATCTTGCTACTGTCCCCAAACAACGCAGGAATGATCGCGGGGCGGAGAGTCAAATCCGCTCGGCGGAAATTGCCGAAGTGCAGCCGAGAGAACCCGAAGCTTTGCCGGAGGAAGCAACCCTGTTGTCACGACATAAAGAGATCTTTTTAACTTTTTCCATCAGAGGAACGACGAAATGATGTCGACATGACCACATCCGTGTATTAAAGTGCACTTTACAACATAATAGTGATTGACTGATAGCTTGAACATTATTTTGAACAAGCAGTACATATATAATACAAAAGATAATACAAAATAAAGCAATTTAAACGCAAATGTAGAAAGTGTACAATACTAATGTGTATTTCACACGGGAGGGAATCAAGAATGCAGGTATCACATTCCGTCAACTGTACTATCACCAAGCCCCTTATTCTAAATTTTTAGACAACAAAGATATTCTGACATTATACATGATATGCAACCGTTTCGACAACTTGGCGCAATGAAAAAGAAATCCTGACGTGTGTCAAATAGAGGTAATGGGTTTGCTTTATTACAAGCAGCAGACAAGCACGAAAGAGACAATCAACCTCCCCGCCCACCTCTCGTTACGTCACCATGGAGCGTGGCTGACATGCCCGAAGTGCTTGTGCGGTGAATAGCTATTTTTTTTTTTTGGGGCGGGGGGCACCGCCGACCACCCTCAGGCCCTCAGCCTGATCGCTCCCATACCCGCCACCACGCCCATCCGTGCAAATCTGCACGCAGGCCTTGTATCCCCTTTAAAAGCATCCCAAAATAAAATGTACTCGTTAAATAAATGCCATGCAAACATGAGACTGGTTATTTCGTTTCATCACTGAGTCTCATTTTATATGTCCAGCTTGTGTCCCAAAAAGCTTTTAAGATACAAAGGGGTATTGGGAGTGTATTTCATTCACTGCCGTCAAAACAAACGCCGTTACTGCATGAGCAGCGCCATCTCGTGGCTAAACGGAGTGAATGCCGCACGTACAATTGGTCCAAAAAGTTAACTCGGCAACTGCCACGAATATTATAATCGATAAGGCGTTAAAAAGTTTCTCAGTGATAATTTAACAGTATGTTTTAGATAGTGATAAGTGTTAATGTGGAGTTTGTGCAAAAATGCAATTTAATGGGATTAAAAAAACGTATTGTGGCTGTTTTATGAATTAAAAAAATATATTTTCGTAGAAAGTTCATTAGTTCATTGTGGATGAACATTAGCCACGGTTCATTTAAAAAAAAAGCAACCACGTACTCTTTGACTGCATTTATTGTTTCAAAATAAGCGTTTTCAGAGTGGTAACTTGTATTTTGAATCTTTAGGAAACTTCCTCCATCCGGAAAATTGAAAATCGGTATTACACACTCAACGGCCACTTCATTAGGTACACCTGCACCTAATTGCTAAATATATCCTCACACAGAAACACTGAATGTCAACAATCATACACACACCTGTAAACAAACATTTTAAAACGGATTTGAGTATTATCCATCTTTTTTCAAAGACAAAAGTCTTTCGAAAAAAGATGCGGATACATGAAACATAAGGCAGGTGTTTCTAATGTAGCGTCCGCCGATACAAAAGTGGACTGCAGGTGTGTGCGCACTCTCGTCTGGTTTATTTCACACTCAATGAAGCATGAACAACAGACGCTGGTGAATATGACATCTGATGGAGTTGGATCAAGTCATTGGTCAAGTTTGTGGTCATTGTCGTCAGTAACAGTAGTTTGGCCTTCGGTGATCCTCCAACGACATTTTGGCTCGTAATCCTCTTTGGGAAATAAAGAGGGCGCGCACATCACAACACAGAAACAGACTTTGCATAAATGTTTTTCCCGTGACCCTTTTTTTCTTCCCATTCTTCTCTCTAACTCATAATGGCTCGCCGTTGTTGTGCGTCAAGAGTCAGCAACACTGTTTAGTAAGACATGTTTAGATTTTTTTGGTAGTTTTATAAGAATAACTATTTACACATTTTTCAAATTAAGAACACGTACAAAGGAGAAACTCAAAAGAACGGCGGTAGGTCCTGTCTGAGTTTTTAAACTTAACCGCTCGGTTAAGTTTAAAACATGTTTGAAGGTGTCCCTCATAGATGCGTAGTTATTCCCTTTAATTTTTCTCACAAAAAAAACAAAAAAAATCCAAAACAGAGTCCCTTACGATGCGTGCTTGGGCCCTTTTGATATCCTCCCACAAAAACATTGGAAATGAGGTTGTCCCTCAGAGATCTGTACTAGTCCCTCTTCAATTTTCTCAGACCAAATTGGTGTCCCCCAGTTAGCCCCCTCTTGCTTTTCTCACACCAAATCAATTAACAAGCGTGTAATTGCACTCCAATCAAAATGCCAACTATTTTCTTCCCCTGATCCTATTCCTATTAAACTACTGAAAGACGCATCCACACAAGACATTATGTTCATTTCCCTTTAACGCATATAGAACCCCATGTGAAGGAAGCCGATAATGAGACTTTGTACCTATTTGTGTGCTTTTCTCACAGGAGGTCTTGGGAAAAGCTGGGCTCAACAAATGAGTCTTACTCTTTTTTTTTCTGTATCTAACACACCGCTGAGGTCGCTAAACTTTGAGTACAAAGATGAAAAAGTAGTAAACTCAGCGTCAGTACAAAGAGGGCAAAAAGAGGTTGTGGGCGAGCGCTCAAAACAGCAGGAAAGACGACGGATCGGTTTTCGGGGAAGATGAGAAAAAAGAAGACTTTTTTTCCATACGTCATCTTCAAAAAAAGGCAGTAGGTACACGTTATAGAAGACCTGCAGATATCCACCAAGAGTCCAAGTCCCACAAAAAGAAAAGTTGCTTGACTCGACATCGAGTTTCAAGTAACAGAAGTAGAAGGCAAGTATGAAGAGTGGCGGCGGCGCGGGAAAAGGCGTTCGGTTGCATATATTAAGAGAAGGAAAACAAGAATCAATGATACTTTGCGGGCGCGGGTGGACGGGCTCCGAGGACGCTCATGGCTGGCGCACCCGTGCCGCCCCGTGTGAGGAAGCGGCATCAGTTGGTCAGGGTGCTGGATGCGCGGAAGTAGGACAGGAACTTGAAACACAGGCTGACCACAAAGTACCAGATGTTGCGCGCCATCTGCGAGCGGGCGATGAAGACTCTCCAGATGAAGACCACCAGCACCGTGTTGAAGGTGTAGCGGATGTTCCTCAATCTGCAAAACAGACATGTTGTTGGCTGAGTTTACAGACACGAAAGACTGGGTGAAAAAAAACCAAACTGTAATATATGGATAGCAATCAGCAATGTTTCTGATGGGTTGGAAAAGATTTGATCAAATACTTTAAAGCAAGGGCAGTTCACTCAGATGAAGCGACCAGCAGAGGGTGCAACTAACTCAAGATAGCTGCAGTACAATTACAACCAAAGTGTTGCAAAAAACAACAACAAATTAAAAACACTGGAAAAAAATGACACTCAATGCTGCCATAGTCCTTGATGAAACTTACTTTCTCAGGTGTTGCCGGGCGGCGGGAATGTCAGACATGTCCTCGTTCAGGACGTACTTCTTGGTGCCGATGCAGTAGTTCTCAATGTACTCGGGCCAGTTTAGCTGGCGCACGTCAAAGTTGAATGTCTGACAAACACACACACGCGCGCACACACACACACACACACACACACACACACACACACACACACACACACACACACACACACACACACACACACACAAAAATGGTTTGGTAGGTGGATAAAGACCGGAGTTGTTGCCAAGCGAAACTGGTTTCCGGGGCTGAATGTTCAAAACATGAGAGATTCAGCTTCTCTGTGGCGAACACTACCTTGCGGTCCTCCGGGCTCAGCTGCGCCATCAGCATGTTCACATTCTCAGAGTTCCACTCCCAATCCTGGCTGCTGAAGTACTCCAACAGGCTGATGGCCTTGTGAAGCCGATTGAAGATGCGCATCATCCTGGATGAGAACACGACAGATGCGATCAGAAGCCTTTCCCCGTGATGCCTGAGGAGCCTGTTCCAACCCGGAGGGGTCTTACTGCGGCTTCTGTCCGGTCAGGCGCAGCACGAGGTCGTAGAGCAGGGCGGGGAACTTGTGGCTGACCAGGATCCAGTACTGGTAGATGAGATAGTTGGACGTGATGTTGGCGTTGGGCCGGCGGAAGGCCTGCTCCAGCGGGTTCCTCTTGAAGGACGACATCACGTGGTGCTCTGAGGAGGGACACACACGCGCACAAAAATGGATGAGCACGCCCCAGCTGCCGGAGGAGCCACATGACCGCCGGCCGTTACATCACGGCACGCAACGGCGGGCCTCTGTTGCCATGGCAACAGATCCGGAGATGACCAAACGCGAGGGGACGGCGGACTGGAGGCCTTCCAAGATGCGTACGGAATCAATCAAACGGAAGACGAGAGCAGAGTGGCCACAATGCGAGCCGCTCTTTCTGTCATGATGATGATGATGAGGCGTAATCCCGCCACCGGCCATCTGCTTGCAATTGCGGCGTGCTCGCTAATCTGACAGGAAGCAGAAAAAGATGGGAGCCCCAGCTACCTGCTGACACGCCGCCAGACGGATATCCTGCTCACACGCCTGCTAATCTGACAGTCTCATGACATGACATCCAATAATACTCTGGTTCGCGCGTCACAGCAATGGCATGTGAGCCTTTTTGTCTGCGCCCAACCCATTTCAATTTTTCATTGTAGTAATATCGCGGATCTCTGTATATTTGTGGCTTGGCATTTCCGTCAAGTCAATGATTCACCGATTTTTGGGGATTTGGTGATCCTCCTCGCAATTGTCCTGGGTGCCCAGCAGGGGGCACAAAACGCCCACCTTGGCGTCAGCCACAGTTCCCAAAGCCAGCTGGGCTATTTTGTGGAGCTAAAAATATACCGCACCTGGACTTAACAGGACGTACCTATCTCGCCCCAATGGAACGGGTTGATGCCGCCGGTCGTGCAGTTGTACACCAGGGCCGTTTTGGGTCTAAGCGGAAAGAGCGGTTAGGATGATTTTCGACACTTTGAAGGGGTCCTGGAGGGCATCGTGGAACTAACTTGTGCACGGCCGTGTACCAGCCGGCTGCCAGCGTGAGGTTGATGACCACGTCCACGGGGATCAGGTCGGCCACGGCGTCGTTGTTGGCCCGCATGGTGCGCAGGATGCCCTTGCCGGCCTGACACATACGTGACAAAACATTCACTCGTCTGCGCGCGTGCGCGTGGCGTGCTCAAGGCTGTCCTACTTACAGCGATGAAGACGCCGCTGGGCCCGTTGAAGTTGTCGATCCAACCCTGAGTACAGCACAGGAGCTCAATCACTGACATGAACAGAGACACGTGTGTGTGTGTGTCTGTGTGTGTGTGTGTCTGTGTGTGTTATGGCGATATCGTGTTACTTCCTGCTGTGGGAAAAGTAGCTGCCGTGACTGTAAATTAGCCCCAATTAAAAATGCATCAAGAACACCTGACAAGGAGCCAGGCTTGCGTAATAACATGCTGAACGGGAAAAAAAAAAATGCAAGGCCCACGCGGGTACAAGGTCACCGACAACAGTCGGATGTCCACACTGATGCAGATTTGTGTTTTAAATGGATAATTTTTCTTTGGCATTTGTCTGAGTTATACAAAGCATCGGGACATGACAAAAAATGTGATCTCATCCGGAGCAGTTCAGAATCAATTAATTAATATGGAAATAGATTACTAAACGTGTTAAATGTAACGCAGATGGCTACAGAGAGGTTTTGCTCGTCGGCTGTGTTTGGCTTTGGCCAACCAATCAGAGGACGGAAAAAGTGCTGACATCATCGAGGGTCAGGGCGCTCGCTGGCCTTGTGAAGATGAAGTTGAAATCAGATTGCTAAAAGAAACATTTAAGTTATATGGGGCAGCATTATTGTGAGCGGAGGCCGTGGGCAGATAAGATAACTGATAATAAAAAAAACAAAATCTAGTGTTTAGACCGTGCTGGCGTCGACCATTTTCAAAACAGCAAGCTTGTTTGCTCGGTCTGTGACGTTGGCGAGATAGGCGCAACAAAACTTCTCTCGTCCGAGTTCTGAGAGGCTCATCTCAGAAGCGTAATCCTGATAGCAGACGGGCGGGAAAACCTTGGCAGCGGACGGAGAAGATGTCTGGACGGACGAAAGCGGCTTAAGCGTCTTCTCAGATGGCCCACGCGTGAACTTTCCCTGTCGCGATGGCGCCCGCGCCTGCACTCCGGCCCGCACGTGCGGTAATTAAAGCCGTAATCCTCCGCCACTTAAAATAAAACCGTCCGGGGAGCCGCGCGGGATTACGAGATCGATATCCACACCGTGGAAAGAGGCGGCGCGGGGTCACGCGCGCCGGGGGCTCACCGGGAAGGGTTCCTGCCAGCTGGCCCCCACGATGGACGGCCGGATGATGCCGATGTTGAGCTTGTCCTGCTCCTGCTGCACCACGTACTCGGCCAGCGCTTTGGTGTACGTGTACGTGTTGGGCCGGTTGCCGATGAGCCGCGGCGTGATGTCCTGCACGATGCGGTCGTCCATCCACCTGAAAGCGAGCGCAAACGTGTGAGGAAAACGAGTCCGAGGTGCTCCGTTGAAGGCCCGTCAAGCGGACAATGATGAACCCGCAAACACGACGACGGTCCATGTTTCCCAAAACACTTTTACACTCACTCACTCGAGGGACTCGATGAGCTTGCGGGGCTCGACGGGCGGCGGGTAGATGACCTCGTCGATGTGCTTGCGGTTGCAGTTTGCGTAGGCGGTGGAGATGTGAATGAAGGCCTCCAGGTGGCGCATGCGCCGGGCCAGGCCGAGGAGCTGCTGGGTGCCGATCACGTTGAGCTGCACGGCGTGCCTGTCGAGAGGGAGGACAGGAAAGTGGGCGGGGCCTCCTTCTCACTTTCTATGACCATTTGCACTTCCTCCTTCATTGTTGGCTCCTTCCTCTTTTATTTACTACTTCCTCTTTTGCTTCTCCCACCCAAGCCCGCTGATGTCAAATATTCACTTGAGCGGCTCGTCGAAGCGGATGGTGGCGGCGCAGTGGAAGACGATGTTGACGCAGGCGGCCAGCTTGTCGGCATCCTCGGGGCTGATGGCGAGGCCCGGCTCCGTCAGCTCGCTGCTGATGGGTACGATCTTCCGATGGAAGTGGGCGTCGTCCTCCCGCACGCGGTCGAAGAGCTGCGCGAGATGACAGATGGCCGTGGGTTAGCGTCCAAGCGGCTGCGGTGCTCAAACGGAGACCGATAAAGGTCCATCGCACTTGTCTGGTGGAATGAAGTGCGGTTCCCCAGTCTGGAAAAGTTGGCGCCGTAGCTCTAGTTTTATGCCTTTAGACAAACAAGTCACATTTCGCACGCTGATATTTCTTGTTGAGACATTCTGCTGGACGTGATTCAGTCCCAGTCGGCTGGTGCGTTTGAGCGAGCCCAAATTTAGCAGCTCGCTGCCACTGCCTTGATCCCCATTCGCATCGAGTGGGTATTGCCGACTTGAGTCAGCGTTCGGAGGCACGCAGCGAACGTTCGTCAGCGGCATGTTTCCCGCCCGGCTGTGATGAAACTGCAGCGCTTGAACAGGTGAGTCAGCTTCCCTTTCACCAACGTGCGTCACCACACAGAGAGAAAGAAAGAAAGACCTTGTGAGCGTTTGCGCGCTTCGACGTCAGCGATGACGGATTCCATCATTAGCGGCAACCATTGCCAATTGGCAACTCAAGCTTTCCATCGTCACCGTGGCCGCTCGGCAAAGCGTGCGGATTACTTGCAGCGGGAGGACCGCACCTGCTTACGCTTCGGTCATCTGACCGCAGGACGGCATTCCGACACGCGGCGAGGGATTAAGTGAATCCCGCCTCTGCCCGATAAGGGACTTCTATTCTTTTGTGAACACAAAGCGAGCGGGCGGCGCGGGTCGCCAAGGGTGACGGCAAGCAGTCGGCTGCTTTACCGCTGCAGCACCAGCAGGAGAAGGTGGAGAAGCAAAAGGATGCTTCTGAAAATGCCCCCTCCCCGCTGACGGGGAACAGCTGTTTGCGTTTCCATCTCCCGCCGCGCCGTAGTAAGGCTCTCGCCTGGAAATGCGGGCAGGGGGGGGCATTTTCTGCACCAAGCGTTATGCAATGCTAACCTTAGAGCCCCACGAGCCGGCAGCTGTCACCGAAGAGGCGGGGCAGCCATGTCGTGTTGAAATGCTTCCGTAAAACACGTCGGGGGGATTCTGGAGCGGTGTTCGGATTCACTCGGCTTCGCGGTTCCTCGACATGACTGCGCGAGCCACAATTCCCGATGGACAAGCGACGCCTTGCAACTGCCCTTGGCTGCCACTCACTTCGGTGTTATCGAAGCGACCGCGACTTGTCGTGTTTGGTCCTCCGCTGCTTGACTTCCTCAGTGGAGGGGGGGGGGGGGTCATCAGCAAAGATGATGGCCGGGTTATCAGGGTCAGGCAGGAAGGGGATGACGCTGCGGATTCAACGGTGGCCTTTGTGCACCAGGGCGACGCTGCGGGACTGACAACGGGCTCTTTGGTGCCAGTCGCCGACAAACAATAGCGCCACACAGCCGCCCCTGCGCGCACGTGCTCGCTCACTTTAGCCTTCAACAAGGTCAATGCACGTCGACGCTTCTGGAGAAGAACCATTTGTCCTTTTTATGTACTGGACATTTTTTTTTTTTCTGAACGACCAGCAGAGCAATAAATCTCTCTTGAATCGTTGTGGAAGCGGCCGCCGGGCACCCGCCCTGCTCTTGTTTCAGCCAGGCAACCTGAGACGCCATGGAAGGAGTCTTTCCCGGTGTCAGGAATCGTCTTCGGGCAATCCCAGTCAAATGCGTTTAATTATGGCAAGACGAGCGCTCAAAGGTCACTCCTGTGAGTTGCCAGGTGAGCACGCAGAACGGGTTTTTCCTCCAGAAGCTTTCCTTCTTGCTTTGTCCTCGGCGGCCTGGCCCCGCCCCGGCGAACGGCGGCTGCGCTCTGTCGACGGCTTGCCGCGACCGAGCGTGTCACCTGACCTCCCAATGAAAAGCTGGGATAGGAAACCGCTGTCTTTTAGCCCCGAGGCAGAGACGTAAATCTTCGAGATGGGGCTTTTCTGAAATACCGGCGGCATCACATTCCAGCCGGACATTTCTTGCGGGGGAGGTTTTAAGTCTGAGTGAGCAACCGCGAGGCAGTCGACCCACTGCGAGGTGCGAAAGTCATCTCAACGACTGCCCTGAAATAACTTAAGCCTGATAGGTCTGATTCTCATATGGGTGCGGAGAACCGGAACAATGGTGCCTCAACCTTAACGCCTCCGGCGACGCGCAGTGTGCCAATTTGTTTCAGAAACTGGAGTTCGTTCGCGGTCTAATTGCACAGAAAAAGACCGTCTCTCCAGGCAGAAACCACTGTTTGCCCGACTGCGCAGTTTCCGACTGACGTTCACGGGATTCCATCTGTCCTACCAACGCCGCAGCAGCGGCAGCAGCAGCACAGGGCCTCCTGTGTTTTGTGCGTGGGAGAAAGGCACTCGGGCAAAGCAAAGAAAAGCGCCAAGGACGCCTCCTCGGTCAAGCGCCGGAGTGCGTCAGGGCAGCGTCGGGGAGCCACGGCGGCACGGGATCTGCAGCGGTTACCTAGCAACAGGTGCAAAGGAGGGATGCTCGACTGGCTCGCGGGGATGGAAAGGCTACTCGAGACCCGTGGCCGCGTCATGTGGCACTTGATGCTCGGCCGAGGAAATTCAACGACGTCAGGCGAACGTACCCGCACGGCTCGGGTTTGTCTCGTCCTGACAAAAGACTCGACTCGCAACGATGTTGGTCAAAGCCCACAGAAAAGCGGACTTGTCTGACAGTTTGAGGGCGCGGGCCCACCTTGGCCGACATCATTCCCGGGCTTCGATGAGTCACGCTTTGCCGCCCCGCCCACTCACGCTCCTCGCCCGCCTGACCACCTGGCTGTCCTTGTGCCCCCCAGAACGGACTTAAAATAATCAGTCACCACGGCAACGGCTGCTGTCTGTCTGTACGTTCCCACTTAAACACACTGCACTCAAATGCTCGACAGTCAGATTTCCGAACACCGGCCTAGCCAGATGAGGGGGCGGGAAGGCGTCCCGTCATCACCCGCCCCTGCGCTCCCTCAACTTTTCCATTCAGTCAGCGTCAAAGGCGCCGAGGGTATTTTTGGAACGACGGAAGAGTCTCAACTTTTCAACCTCACCTTGCACTTGATCATGTCGTCCACCCTCTGCTGCATGGACTGGCCGGCTTTGGGTCGCACCAGCAGGAAGAGCGCCCGCACCTGCGGGCAGCACCGCAGCAGCTTCTCCACCAGAACCTTGCCCATGAAGCCGGTGGCCCCCGTGATGAGCACGTTCTTGCCGGCGTAGTAATCTGCCACGGACGTCATGGCGGTGTCGTCCGACGGTCTGGGCCGAGTGTCCGCTTGCTCCCCGACGGGGTCCCGCTCGTCGCGCCGAACCTGCATGCGGGAGGGCAGAGGTCAAACAACAATCCCAAAACATTTCCAAACAGGACTCACAAGCAAATATCGTGCGGCGGCACCTTGCGTGGGCTTATTTGGTTTTTGACAAATTCTGCCAGTGGCAGTTGGACTCGAGTTTTCCAACCTGTTTTGATCGAGGGGCGGCGCCCGTTCGGCTGGCGATGCAAATATGGATGACGCTGGTCTCTTTTAGCCTGCCGGAACCCGACCTAGATGCGTCTCTCACCGCTGTCTCCCGGTGACACGCGATGCATTCCAGCCCCGTCCCGCATTTTAATTAGATCATACCCCGCGCACCGACGGAGAATAATGGAGCACGCGCCCTTATTTGGGCCAACTCGATACGATGAATCAGGCGGTTGTGGGCGGCCAATTCCGAAGGGACCGGGAACACCGCCTCGGCGATCCAGCAGAGCGGGACGCAAGAGCGGCGATGAGTTAGGCTTAATAACGTGAATGTTTAAACACAGATTCCATAAAAAGTCCATAAAGACGCGGGTTTATGGCAGGTTTGTTTCTGCATCACGAGAAGCTCCTTTAACCAGTAACAGGAGGCTGAGTGACACAATATCTTGGTTGTCACACAATCTTTTGAGTCATCTTCCTTCCTGTTTTGTTTTTCCTTCCCCCTGCCCTACAGAACTCAATCAATCAAGACCCCAACAGTTGTTGATGGATGGTGGTCATGGCAACCAGTTCAAGTGTAAGCCTTGCTAACAACCAGGCCGAGGGCATGTTCATTTTTCTGGCAGCGGTGGCGCTACATTTCTCCCAGGCCGACCTGACATCGGCACGTTTGTCAAGTCTTGTTTGGGACACGGCATCCGCTGCCAACCCGCCGCCGTTCCGTCCCTCAGATTCCCGGCCGGGTGGCCCGAACGCTCGGCGCGGAAACCAAATCCTCCTGAGCCGAGCGCTGCCCACTGAACTAAACAATGCGGTGTTTGCTTGCTTGCTCGCTACCTTGTCGCCGGCTGTATTAAATGACAACAGCCCTTTGAGAGGCTGTGTTTGATTTATCCTGCGCTGAATCTTACACATATTGAAATAAAGACTGTCTGGCTGTCTCAAAGTACATTCCCAGTGGATGTCAGGACCCAGATGGGGGCACCGGAGGGTGGGCCGCCGAAATTCACCACAGATTAGCACCTGACAAGGGAAATGTTGCCGCAGTGGCCACAAGCACCGAGCTTAAATGTCGCAAATCCCTGATGGATGCCAGGCTACTGCCAGTGGTGTGAGGAAGTACTGCGGATGAGGAAGACTATTTAGGATTCGAGTGTTTCAAGTTTGGCCTGCAAGTTCTCGAGGCAAGAGAGAACGAGTACTTTTGCAACCTACGGCCATGCGTTGATGCCTTGGGCCCTCCAATAGTGGGTCACCCTGGCTTGGCCGTGCGTGAGTGTATG